GGGGGGCAGTTGGGGGCAAGCAGGCCAGTGGGGAGGAAAAGTGGGGGCAAGGCCAGCAGAGAGGTAATCAGGCTGGCAGGGGGAGCATTTGGTGGCGAGCAGGCTGGTGGGGGGTGTAGTTGGGGGCGAGCAGGCTGGCAGGCAGAGTGGTTAGGGGCAATCAGGCAGGCAGGTGAGCAGCTGATGTCTGACTGCCTAAACTGAATGTCTGACTGGCAGTTTAGGCCCGATCCCTGTAAACTGCAGTAGGGCAGCCTTTGAAGGGTCCCAGAATGAAAAGGGTGCAGAATGAGCTGAGGAACACACCCCGGGCCATTAATACACACAGACACACACACAGACACACACTGAGTGGCCAGCTTATAATGCATGCAGAGATCATAATAATCTCGCCACTCAGTGTAGTGTCCTATAAATAAGAATTAGGTCAAGGTGATTGATAGTGTTGTTCAGATCATGTAGTTTTGCTGACTTTTTTGTCTAGTTGTCCAATCAGTTACTTTGAGAAGGGTGTTAAATACCCAACTGTAATTGTGGAATTGTCTATTTCTCCTTTTAATTATGTCAATCAAAAGGCATAAGGTTGCCGAGACCGGTTTGGCTCAATGGATAGAGCTTCGGCTTGGGGACTGAAGGGTCCCGGGTTCGATTCCGGTCAAGGGCATGTAACTTGGTTGCGGGCACATCCCCAGTAGGGGGTGTGCAAGAGGCAGCTGATCGATGACTCTCTCTCATCGATGTTTCTAACTCTCTATCTCTCTCCCTTCCTCTCTGTACAAAATCAATAAAATATATTAAAAAAAAAGAGTGTCAGAAAGGCTGATTTTAAGAAAAAAAAAAAAAAAAAAAAAAAAAAAAAAAAAGGCATAAGGTTGCTTCAGGTATTTGGAAGCTATATATTAAGTACATGCACATTTATCATTTTTGTCTTTAAAATTTTATTTTTAATTGATTAGGGTGATATTAAAAAAATTATATGGGTTTCAGGTGTACAATTATATAGTACCTCATCTGTATATTATGATATATTGTGTGTTCACCACTCCAACTCAAGTCTCTTCCCATCACCACTTATCTCCCATGCCCTCTCCTACCTCCCCCACTCCCTTTTTGTTATGTCTTTCTAATGTAATCAACGTTTTTATCATTATGAAGTGTTTTTTTTTTATGTCTGCTAATACTCTGTCTTCACATCTGTTTTGCCTGCTATTAAGATGGCCACACCAGGTATAAATTGGTGTGATGATGACTTTTCTATTTTATCTTTTCATTGGCATCGATAGAACAACAAAGGACGGTCTAAATACTATAAGTAGTTTTAAGTAAATAAAGTTACATTAAATCTTCTTTGCACTGTGTTTATACTAGTTCTCTATAAAACCCCTGACTTGGGTTTTTCCATGACCTCCTTCCACACACTCACACTCCAACCCCCTTCACTGAAGGCTGACTTTCCTCTGTTCTGGCACTTCTCATCTTGGTTACTAACTGTGTATCTTTCCTCTTCCAGGCCACTGAACTCAGAGCAGAGTCCGGGCCTTAGTCCTTTACGGCCCCAGTGGTTGGCACATACAGTAGGTGTTCAGCTCAGGTCTGCTGACTTAATGATTAGAGGGGTGTGGCAAAACAAGCAAACAAATAATGACCAACTGCATTTTTATTTCTTGAAGCCAGTCAGGTGGGAGTAAGGCTCCTAGCCTTTTGCCCACTGCAGCTCTTACTGTAACAACCAGGCCAAAGGGTACCTTCTCCGACCTGAACAACCAGGCTCTGCAGGTACCTTCTCTGACCTGAACTCTCCCCAACCGCAGAGCGGAGGGAAGAATGGTTATTCGGGAGAGTGGCCAGTGCTGCTTCCTCTGCATCTCTTCCCGTCCCAGGATGGGCCCTGCTCCTCTAGCCCCTTTCCTATGGGCTTGGTCCTGTGAAGAGCAGCTTGTTTCCTATGTGAACATCAATTCCTCAAGACTAAGGAGGCAGCACCCGTGGGAGAGGCAAGCAGCAGTCACCAGGTCCTTTTGTGCAGGGAGGCCCCTGCTGGTTAGAGCTGGTCTCTCCCCCAGGTCAGTGATAGCACGGAGCAGCCCTCAGATAGGAAAAATGCTGAAGCAGAAACCAGTTTGGTTCAGTAGATAGAGTGTCGGCCTGCGGACGAAAAGTCTCGGGTTTGATTCCGGGCAAGGGCATGTACCTTGGTTGCGGGCACATCCCCAGTGGGGATGTGCAAGAGGCAGCTGATCGATGTTTCTCTCTCAATGTTTCTAACTCTCTATCCTTCTCTCTTCCTCTCTGTAAAAAATCAATAAAATATATTTTCAAAAAATAAAGAAAAGTGTTGAAGCTGTCTTGGACTTCTTAACATACAATTCCTAGTAGCCAGAAGAAAAGAATATATTTAAAACGTTAGCCCAGAGTTAATAGGGTGGAAGGGGGTGAGAAAGAGGACCTATGCAATATTTTCAACAATAAAGATAAAAGAAAAAGAGCCAAGGCTGGTTTAGCTCAGTGGATGGAGCATTGGTCTGTGGACTGAGGGGTCAATTCTGGTCAAGGGCATGTAGATTCTGGTCAAGGGCATGTACATTGGTTGTGGGCATATCCCTTGTGGAGGATTTGCAGGGGGCGGCTGGTCAAAGTTTCTCTCTCATAGGTGGTTCTAGCTCTCTATCCCTCTCCCTTCCTCACTGTAAAAAATCAATAAAATATACTTTAAAAAAAAGAATTATAAAAAAAATAAAAAGAAAAGAAAAAGAAAATAACTTTAGCTGAGCCCTAGCCAGTGTGGCTCAGTTGGTTGGGTGCTGTCCTGTGCACCAAATGGGGGCAGGTTCAATTCCCATCAGAGCTCATACTCAGGTTGCAGGGTTGGTACCCCATCGATGTTTCTCTCTATTTCTCTCTCTCTCTCTCTCTCTCTCTCTCTCTCTCTCTCTCTCTCTCTCTCTCTCTCTCTCTTTCTCGAGATACAAATATGTAGCAACTGCTACAAACTCATTTCCCTGGCCAAATATTGAAAAGGTGCAGTTAAAACAAAACAAAACACAACAACAAACAGAAAAAGCTCTAGCTCTTGTCAGGGGGACAAACTGCAGCACATTTTCCTTCCTCACGCTCTGGGTCCTGCTTCTAGGGAGAAGTGGGCTGTCAAGAGAGGGACAACGACAACAACAACAAAAAAACAAAGAGAGGGACAAGTAAAACTATTCCCCTAAAGTAGTATTTCACTCCTGTCCAAGAGTTCAGTCCAATAACATGGGAGATTTCACTAGTAAATGTACCGTTTTTCAGAAGAATTTTAAGCCCATTAAATTTACTCCTTTATCTAAGAGATTCCTGAAGATTTAAAGAGAAAAATCGTCTTTCAAATGAACAGGGCAATAACACCACTAAAATATGAAATTCCTATTTCTCTCCATTCATAAAACAGACAAAGGCATTATTGTTCTCTAGTTTTATTATTTTTCAATCTTCCCAACACATGAACTATAACTTGGTTTGAGATTTTTTTTCAGTGCATTTCACAGCAAAAATGAACAAGGGGATCATTAAAATGGTTGTACATAAACCAATTATTTACAATTTGTTGAAAAATTTATTTTGCTGCTTTTGTCCTATTAACCCCTTCAATAAAACACAATTTATCAGAGCACAAAGCTTAAATTTCTAATGATGATGCAACAAATACAGCCACCTTCAATGGCTGGTGAATAACAGGTATACACTACACACACTGATTGGAAGACCACATCGGAAGAACAGAGTAAGGCACCACTCCTGGAAAATTAAGGTAGCCTGCATAACCAGTACTGAGCACCGTAAGTAGGTACTCAATAAATACTTGAATGAATGATGAAAGCTGTAATTAGCACTAATTCTTTTTGTTGCCAGAAATTCTTTAACCTCAATAAAATACTTATTTAAAAAGATTTGTACTGGGATACAATTTCCTGATATCTTTTAATTTCGTGCTCTTTCTTCAGCATGAGTTTCCTTGAAAAGAAAATAAAACCATACTGTACACGTTCTCCGTCACATATATAACTTTTGAATTATTGACAAATATGAACAGTTGTTTTAAAATTTTGAGTTAACAGAGGTAAGATAAATCATAATGATCCAGAGAGTAACACATAATACTGTATATTAACCTACAAGTGGAAAAAAGGAAAGGAAAAAAGTAACAGTTTTATTTCTTAATATCTGCTGTTCTTTAATGCCTCAGTTTTTGAGAAAGGCCAGAATCTCATCATATTGATATGAACACATTTAAAAAATTGTCTCTCAAGTGAAATATTTAATAAAACTAGGTATTGAAAAATGTTCTGAAATTTTTCAAGTCAATGTTGTTTTCAAGTATATTAAAATGCTCAGAAGAAAAAGTTCTCCATGGTTATAATTTGAATCAAAAGAGAGTTCCGACAGAGGTGGATAATGCATAAGATCCTGACACAAGCACACAGTCTCTTTGAAGGAATAGAATGCCTTGTTAGTACAACCTGGTTGATTTTTTAACACTGATTTCAGGCACAATGGCTGAATCCACTTCTGGGTCGTCTTTCTCCTCCTCCTGGTTTATGGGTAATGAATACTTAAGTTATTGATAGAAAGCAAAGCAGAGACTCTGAAAGAGACTTCACTTTTCACTATAAAGAAATCAAAGTCATTGAGTTTTTCACTGTTGTGTTTATCTGCTGCCCCCATACAAAAACAGGGGATTCAACTTTAGCTTTAGGAACAGGAAGTAGTTAAAGATCAATCATCTAACAAGTCAGGTGAAAGGTTTTCAGATGATATTGCTCACGTCACATGGACAGGTTGGTGAGAGGTCCATAGTGCTTCTTCAACACTTTGGTCTCGCTGTAGTTCTATGGTGCCCTAATAGATACATTCATGTTTAGCTAGTTTCAGTCTGCAATCAGGAAGTAGGTCACTCAGTGCAATAACTCCATTCTGGGTTTGGGTAAACAGAAGAATTTCATTTGGACGAGTCTTAGTGTGTGTCACTCTGCTGGCTGTGTTGTTGGAATTATTTTCCAAAGGGGTTTGTGATAAATCCAGCCATCTCCCTGAAACAAGTAGAAGAATAAATTAAAGAACTATTCCTCTAAAATTTTCAGAAGCAGTGACCAAAACTGGAAGCAACACCTTCATTGAAATCGCATTCTTTTCTCACATTTAAAAACAAGAGTTTCTGTAAAGGAAAAAGAAAAATCTCTGTGGTTAATTATGACATAAAGCAATGCCTGTGGCTTGGCTAGGATTGGGTGAGAAATTCTGGTTTAGGAGGATCTAGTTTGTGCCCTACGAACACTTTCTTTTGCAGAAGTCATCTGTGGTAATTCTGCCCATTTTGCCAAAATGCTCAGATTGAGGCTCATCCAGAGCAGCAGAAGCAGGTGGAGCATGAATAAATGGTCATGAAAGTACTACCTGTTCTCTCCATCTCACCTGGCATCTCTTGTATCTAAGTATTGTTTTCTAGTTCTTTCCTGACTCAACCCCATTAGTTTCCCCTCGTTCCTGTGAATAGAAGGATACCACAAGGAGATAAAGCCAGAGACTGAACTAAAGACAGGAGAATACCGAGTGAGGAAAAGAGAGCTGTAGCAAATGCATAATACTAGGGGGTAGCTTGGCAGAACAGAGGTCCCAAAACCTACGAGTGAAGTTCAGTGTTTATGGGAGTAGATGTCAGCAGGATTTGAAACTCTGTCCTTAACCCCAATGTCTATTTAAATTTATTTATATTTTAAAAACACTTTTATAGCCAAAACCGGTTTGGCTCAGTGGATAAGAGAATCAGCCTGAGGACTGAAAGGTCACAGGTTCAATTCTGGTCAAGAGCATGTACCTTGGTTGTGGGCACATCCCAAGTAGGGGGTGTGCAAGAGGCAGCTGGTCAATGTTTCTCTCATTGTTGTTTCTAACTCTCTATCCCTCTCCCTTCCTCTCTGTTAAAAAAAAAAAAAAAAAAATCAATAAAATATATTTTATATATTTATTCTACCTTGTTCCAAAAATGATTTAAGGCCACCAATTATTTGGCTGGTAGTGACAAGGACTCTCTCCTTGACTAAACCTCATCTTGGCCTGCTGAGTCCAGTTTTAGCAAAAGCACATCCTGATAAACCAGTTTATCAAGAATCATCTCATTCTTTTTTATTTTTTTAAAGTAGAGCATTAAAAAAAAAAAAAAAATATATATATATATATATATATATATATATATATATATATATATATATATATGTATATATACTGATTTCAGAGAGGAAGGGAGAGGGAGAGAGAAATCGAAACATCAATGATGAGAGAGAATCATTGATCATCTGTCTCCTGCAAGGCTCCCCCTCTCCCCCCTGCCCCGCCCTGCCCCGGGGACTGAGCTCTCAACCTGAGCATGTGCCCTTGGCCAGAATCGAACCTGGGACCCTTTAGTTCATAGGCTGACACTCTATCCCTGAGCCAAACCAGCTAGTGCAAATCACCTCATTCTAATAGCCAATCAAACTCCTCTTCTCTCATCCTTAATATCTTAATCAAGTGCCTCTTTTTCCTCCCCTATCCATGATATCCAAACAAGTTCCTCTCAGTAATTTTCCATCCACTTCCTCGCCCTGCCCATTGGCTATCAATTCCCACTTATTTTATATTCAGAGTTGAGTTCAGACTCTCTACTCTATTGCAATAGTCTTGAATAAAGTCTTCCTTGCAATTTTTAATGTATCAGAATAATTTTTCTTTAACAACAGCAGCCATTAGGTTGTTTATTAGAGCAAATCACCTGGTTGTTATCCTCACCACCTATATTTGTCTTTGAAAAAGACATGGCTACCTAACTACATTACAGAAGGCTAGGTTTAGAAATTAAGACATGCCATCTGAACATCCATCTCATTTTACAGATGAAGAAACTGAGGCTCTGAGAAGTGGAATGAACTTGCTCGACTTTACCAAGGAAGGAGAGTGCTTTTCAGTGCAACTTCCATATATTTATCCACATTTTACAATGAGGAAAGTGCGGTTCTAAGTGGTAAATAAACTATCCAAGTGAGAGCTGGGGCTCACAGTCCATCTGACTCTACTGTATTATAATAGCCATCCTGCTTACTTTTATATACAACTTAAGAAATGTTAAACATTCACTTGAGAGGACACAAGTAATAGATCCTGCTGGACATGTAAAATAAAAAGGAATGGAAGACGTCATGCATTAAATGTCAGTGAGAAATAGTCAGGAAAAGAAGGTGGGTATAATTAAATGATTCTAGAACCACTTTAAGTTCCTCTATACTTTCTAAGGTTACTCTACTTCCTCTTATACCAACCGACTCTATTCTTTACTCTAATTAAGATCAACTCCTCCCTGGTCTATAACCAGTCTGAGAGCAACAAGGAAAGTACAGAACAAGTAGAAAAGCCCTTGCTTCCTTCTCAGGCTTTATGAAACGTCTAAATGGTGTGTTTAACGTTCTATTAGGACCACAGGGGGTACAAAATCAACTTTCAATAGCAAAGGGCCACACACATATGATACTTCTTAACAAAGGGCAATACACAAGGACAACAGCTCCAAATCTGCTATGAACTGTGTGGTACCAAACAACTTCAGCTAGTTGCCATCATCAGCCTCATTTGTACTCACAGTGCTATTCAGATGTGATGCACACATTATGGTCCAGCTGCACAGAGAATGCAACCTGGCTGTCCATGGACTTAGGGAATTAACATGACACAAATCGAACCTTTCTGCTGTATACTGTGCCATGGCACAACATGTAGGAAGCCCTGCTAATAGCATACCACCCAAAGGGGCCCAAACCCGAGTCAGCATCTCTAATCTACAGTGCTATTACAGCAATTTCAACCTTTTTAATCTCATGGTACACACAAACGAATTACTAAAATTCTGCAGCACCAAAAATGTCTTTGCCATTCTGACAAAAAACAAACAAACAAAAATACCAGTTATAATTTTGATTGATTAACAATGATAACCATAGTAACTACTTACCCTTTTTTGCTCCAAAGTGATTTAAAAAAAAATATATATATATATATTATTGATTTTGTACAGAAATCAATAAAATATATATTGATTTTATATTTAGGAAGGGAGAGAGAGTTAGAAACATCGATGAGAGAGAGTCATCGATCAGCTGCCTCTTGCATACCCCCTATCGGGGATGTGCCTGCAACCAAGGTACATGCCCTTGACCGGAATCAAACCCGGGACCCTTCAGTCCTGCAGACCGATGTTCTACCACTGAGCCAAACTGGTTTAGGCTCTAGATTCTTTTTTCTTTTTCTTTTTCTTTTTTTTAAAATATATTTTATTGATTTTTGACAGAGAGGAAGGGAGAGGGATAGAGAGCTAGAAACATTGATGAGAGAGAAACATCGACCAGCTGCCTCCTGCACACCCCCTCACTGGGGATGTGCCCACAACCAATGTATATGCCCTTGCCAGAATCAAACCTGGTCAAGGGCATATACATTGGCCAGGTTTGAATCAAACCTGGAACCTTTCAGTCCTCAGTCCTCTATCCACTGAGCCAAACCGGTATCGGCTACTTTTTCCAGATTCTATCCTTATGGACCAACAATAAAATCAATTTGTGTCCTTACACTTGGCTATAGATAAGAAAACTATTCTTGATATCAGATCTGGTTCATATTTCTGAGTCGTACCATAAAGTAATAAATAAAACAAAATCTTTAAATTTAGAAAGACTTCAGATATCATTTAGTCTAACTGTAAACAGTGCATTACACTATTCTCTTGTATAGGACTAGGGGTGGAGATCACATTACCATAAAATCACTCTTTACCAGATTTTAAAAAATTGTTATATAATGTGTTCGTTAAACTCAAAATGTGCTTCCTGGTAGTTTGGGCTTAGCTCAAGTCTGCTGTTAAAATTGATTAAAAAGTTCAATGAGAGATCAGCCAAGGTGGCTCAGTGGTTGAACATGGACCTATAAACCAGTTCACTGGTTCGATTCCTGGTCAGGGCACATGCCTAGGTTGTGGGCTTGATCACTAGTAGGGGGCATACCGAAAGCAGCCAATCAATGATTCTCATCATTGATATTTCTGACTCTTTCTCCCTCTCCCTTCTTCTATGAAATCAATAAAAATATATGTAAAAAAAAGTTCTATGTGATATATTTGAAAATGATAATGAATAGCTCTTATTTTCTATTTTTTAGGCTAAATATCCACTTCGTTATTTTTTCCTCAAATGCTGCAAAAATTCTAGTCACTTCTCTATTCCTTGTGTAGCCAATTAAGTTTCTCATGTTTCCTTAAAATGTGGTCTCTGGACTCTAGCGTAGTGGGCGTAGTTGGTTGGGCATCATTCGTGCACAAAGGGGTGGCCAGTTTGATCCCAGCTAGGAGGTGTGCTGGAGATAACAGTTTGATATCTATCTATCTATCTCCCTCCCTCCCTCCCTCCCTCCCTCCCTCCCTCCCTCCCTCCCTCCCTCCCTCCCTCCCTCCCTCCCTCCCTCCCTCTCTCTCTCTCTCTCTCTCTCTCTCTTCCTCCCCACCCCCTTCCTCTCTAGGAATGCTTAAGCTGGGCTATTTTCAGAAATGGAGGTGTGTAATAACAGTCAAGAAAGCTTAGTAAGCTGAAGTTCCCACTAAGCAGACAAGTTTTGGTGGGAAGTCAGGGAGAACACACCTCTTTAATAAAGTACTTGGTTTTCCAGGGTGTGCCCGTTTCAGTTCGATGCCTTTCTTCAGTCCTCTGGCGCTCTTCCAGGGTGCGCTTATGCTCTGTGGCCTTATCAATTTCAGATTCCCTCAGAGCCTCTGTCACATTTTTCCACAATCGCCTGAAATCAGAAAACCACACATTTCACAAACATTCTTAAACAAAGATAGTAAAGAGAACTGATACTCTCAAAATTAACAGCAAATTTAAAAAATTACATTTCCTAAATCAGATGTATAATTTCATGCCTGAGTTATAAGAATACTGATATCACATTGCTGATGTTAATGTCCTGTTATCAATTTTTTGCAGAATATCCATGCTATTTTCCATGTTGCCTGAACTAATTTATATTCTTACCAACAGTGTAGTGTCCCTCCCCCACTCCCCCGCCGTGGATTCTACATACAAATGATATCATACAGTATTTGTCTTTGTGTGGTTTATTTCATGTAGCATAATGCCCTCAAGATTCAACCATGTTGTCACAAATGGCAGGATTTCCTTCATTTTTTTTTATGTCTGAATACGATTTCCTTATATATATGTACACACACACACTCACACACACACACACACACACACACACACACATATTAAATACACACACTTCTCTATTTATCCATTGATGAACACTTAGGTTTTTCCATTTAAATTTTACTATTTGCAACAAATAGTTTCAAATTTTTTTCTGTGAAGTGCCATATTTGCGTTCTTCATTTGTAAGAAAAATCTAATAGTGAAATTAGAACAGCTACTGTTTGTCAACCAGTCTTTTAAGCAAAATTGACGTTTCATAAGGAGTAACTTGCTTGTAACTCAGAACAACTGCACAAATGCTTTCCCTCCAAATAACCAACCACTGCCCTTCAGGATCCAGCAGAAGTGGTTTATGCCTATTCCCAATGTGTCATGCAGAACATAAAAAAGATTTCTTTTGTAAGAAGCTAGCATTTTACAAATTGTAAGTACACAGTAGTGAAGAATCCAGTGACTACTTGTCCAGTTTGGTGCCATTGCCGTGATCAGTGTTATGCCCAGGAGTGCTCCCTACCATTGCTTTGGCACCACCAAAGCAAGTGGCAGCAGAGTGAAATAGGTAAATAACATCTTATCATTATTATGAAAAAGAATAAGAATAAGAATAAGAATAAGAATAAGAATAAGAATAAGAAGAAGAAGGAGGAGGAGGAGGAGGAGGAGGAGGAGGAGGAGGAAGAAATTGAGATACTCTCAAGAGATCTCAAGGATCCAAGGATCTGCAGACCAAACTTGGAGAACCTTTTCTTTAAGATAAATACCTAGAAAAAAATTTTACTTCAATTACTACTGTTTCATTTTTTGACCCAACCCCAGTCTTTGGTGATATATCTACTTATGTGATATAACTTAATATATTTAACTAGAGGCCCGAAGCACAAAATTCATGCAAGGGGTTTGGCCCTCACAGCAGCGGAGGCTTGCCGAGGTCCATGCAGCCGCGGCTTAGTCTGGAAGGTTGTTCGGCTGTCCGGCCTAATTAGCATATTATGCTATTATTATTATTATAGATGCTTTCCTGTGTTTTCTTTATTTATTTAAAATTGATACAGTAATACTTCCACATGATACAAAATGCAAGCAAGGGTGATCTCTTTCCTATCTCAGACCCCTGTACTCCTTTTAAAAAGTAACCACTGTTGACACATTTTGGAGGCTGTACCTTATTAACACATTTAGATCCATGTCACTTACTTTTAAAGGCCTATGATATACACTGCCAAAATACTCTTTGGAAGGCTGTTCTAATTTATCTCCTAACCTGCTGTATGAAAATGTCTATGTGCTTACACTTTCCCCCTCAAAAGGTCATTATTTTATTTATTTTTTTAAAATATATTTTATTGATTTTTGTACAGAGTGGAAGGGAGAGAGAGAGTTCGAAACATCAATGAGAGAGTCATTGATCAGCTGCCTCTTGCACATCCCCTACTGGGAATATGCCCACAACCAAGGTACATGCCCTTGACTGGAATCGAACCCGGGACCCTTCAGTCCCCAAGCCGACGCTCTATCCATTGGTCCCGGCAAAAGGTCATTATTTTAAAAACTAAATTTGCCTTACTGTTTAATTTACATTTCTTTCAATTCTCATTTCAATTCTCAACTGAACATTTTTTTCATTTTCTTAATGGGCATTTTTCCTGCTATTTTTATGAGCTACCTCTTACCTCTTTCTGTTCTTTTGCCCATTTTTCTACTTGGGAGGTATCTGTTCTCTATTAATAACTAGAGGCTCGATGCACGGAATTCGTGCAAGAGTAGGCCTTCCTTCCCCTGACGGCTGGCACCAGCTCCCCCCTGCAGCCCCGGTTTCATCCGGAAGGATGTCTGGTCTAATAGCATATTATGCTTTCATTATTACAGATGTGTAAGAGTTCCTATGGTAAGGATAGCAGTAATACTTTCTGTTAAATGTTAATATTTTGCCCAGTTTAGCAATAAGTTTGACTTTTACTAAAATGTGACTGTGTATCATATAATGCCATAGCTGGTAAGGCTTTAAGAGCACCAGATCAGACCAAACTCTTTGAATTTACAGATGAGGAAACTGATGTAAACTGGTGAAGTGACTTGTCCAAGAGGGTTAGTCAGTAAAAAGGCTTAGATTAAGAGCCAGAGCTTCTGACTCTTTCCTGGGTGGATGCACAGATGACATACCTGGATTCAAACGGGTCCTGCTTCTCCAGAGGTCTTACTCTTTTCTTCGTCACTGCCAACTTAGTCAGGTCCACATTCTTTGTCTCTCCATTGCTGTAGGTGAACTCAAGAACGCTATTCCATTCCCCTTGCACTTTGCACACCACAGTGTTGCTACTATTGTGCTTTACTTCACCGGTAACCCTAGAAGCAGGCAGAAAAAAGATTTGCTATAATAAACTAATATTGTGCTTTTTCTTCAGATTCTGAAACCCAAGAACATACTCTGGGAATTCTTTAAATTAGTTATACAGCTCACTTCAATGTCAGTGCCAAAGTCATTCTGTAAATCCACGTTAGCTTCATAGTAACCTTTTCAAATAACATCAACTTTAATCTGTAGAAAGAACTCTGGGAATCAAAGTAGAAACTTAATTATCATAAATAATTACGGAGTGTGATCTTTAAAAATGCTTGCTACAAGCAAAACTATTATAATATTAAAATTAAAAAGGAAGACAAAAAATATTAAAATTTATATTTTTACCATAGTTGGAAAATGTTATAATAAATAACCTATTTAACTTTTTAAAAACTAGTCTTACTAGTATTTATGTAAAAGTTTGGAGTCTCTTTTGAAGTTCTGGCTATATCAATTCTGTATAAAATCACATAAGCCTAATTTTAAATTAAATATAGAAACCAGACAAATCATTAAGAGAAAAAGCCCTAGCCAGTGTGACTCACTGGATAGAGTGTCGGGCTGTGGAACAAAGGGTCCCGGGTTCAATTCCAGTCAAGGGCACATGCCCAGGTTTAGGGCTTGATCCCCAGTCGGGGGTGTGCAGGAGGTAGCTGATCAATGGTTCTTTCTCATTGATGTTTCTTTTTAAAAATATATATATTTTATTGATTCTTCACAGAGAGGAAGGGAGAGGGATAGAGAGCTAGAAACATCAATGAGAAAGAGACATCGACCAGCTACCTCCTGCACACTCCCAACTGGGGACATATCCACAACCAATGTACACGCCATTGACTGGAATCAAACCTGGGACCTTTCAGTCCGCAGACCAATGCTCTAACCACTGAACCAAACTGGTTTTGGCCCAACTTCTGATCTTCCCTTACCACCTCCTTGCCCTCAACCCAATCTTTGCCTGCCACCAGGTTAATCCTTTTAAAAATACAGATTTAAAATATATCACTTCAAGATACAATATTGCTTAAATTGTATTCTTGTCAGAAATGTATAATCTGAACCTAATTTGAAAGAACCCAGACAAACCTAAATTGAGAGGCATTCTATAAAATTGTCCTGTAATCTTAAAAAAACTGTTAATGTCATAGGTGACAAAGAAAGGCCGAGGGAATGGTGCAAGTTAACGGAGACTAAAGGGACATTAACAGGAAGATGTAATGGGTGATATTGAGTCTGAAGACTATACACTGCCAATAACTGGTACAACTGACAAATTTAATATGAATAATACATTAGATAATAGTATTATATCAATGTTAAGTTTTCAATATTTGGGGAGGATCCAAGATGGCTGCTCGGGTAGACATCTAGCCGCGGCAGCACACAACAATTTCAATGGAATACAACTAAAATGTAGAGTGGACATTGCCCAGAGCTACAGGTAGTCGACTGACTGAAAATTCTACAACAAGAAGGAAAGAGAAAACCAGAAGGAAAATCAGAGGAGCTGAAAAAAAAAGCCTAAGGTACGGAGACATGCTGCGCGCCCGCCCGCACGCACGCACGCACGCACGGAGAGGTGGCAGCCGGAGAGGAGGAGAGGGTGGGGAGCTGCCTTTCCTTCCCTAGCAGGAAGGAAATAAAACCCCCAGCCTGGGCTGAACCCCCGAACCAGCAGCGCTGAGCCCCCCCGAACCGGCAGCGCTGAGCCCCAGTTATGGGCCAGACCCTGGGGACCCAGGCTCCGGTGGGAGGAGACGGGGCTGTGAGGCGGAAAAACGGCAAAAAGCAGGGCCCCGGGAGTCGCGCGCAATGCGCGCAGAGGACTGAATGTTGACTCTGATGCTGGGTTGCCCTAGCCGGAAGAAACAAGGCCTCCGGCGGCGCTGAGCCTCAGTCCGGACTGCTCCGAACCCCAGTTCTGGGCTAATCCCTGGGGACCCAGGCTCAGGCAGAGGGAGACGGGGCTGTGAGGTGGAGTCCGGGGAGAGCGGCAAAAGGCCGGGCCCCCGGGACTCTCGCAAACTGCGCGCGCAGAGGACAGTCTGTTGACTCTGATGCTGGACTTCTCTAGGGGGAAGGAGAAAAAAAAAGCTCTAGGCTGGGGGAACTCGGAGGGGAGCGGAAGCCCCTGCCGGACTCCAGCCAACCGGGCACCAGCAAGGAGGCGGGCCACGGGGCCCCTGGGGGCGTGGGTGCCCCTGAGCCTTTGACCACTGAGCTCTGGCAATGGAGCCAAGGCCGGGGGCTGCTTCCTGGGCGGCGCCGTCCCGGCAACAGGCTGAAGCAGCGCAGGAGCCCGAGGAGAACAAAGGGGTGCCACAGGCCAACCTGCTGAGCTCCCAGGACAAGGAGGAAGAAACCAAAGAAGTTCTCAATGTGAAGAAATCAAGTGAGAGCAAAAAATAGTAAAATTACTTAAGAAAGAATACAAAGAAGATCTTGAAAAATCAAAGACTAAGTCAGAACTCAACTCACCAGCCAACATTGCAACATAAATGCGTTTTAAAAAAAGAAAAAAAAAAAAGGACAGAATGTTGGAATAACAGCGGCCAGGCATAGAGTGGCCAGGCACAAGGCAGTGGCAGCCAGGCCCGGAGCAGCAACGGCCAGGCCCCAGAACAACAGCAGCCAAAACCAGAGCATCAACAGCCAGCACTGGAGTAGCCAGACCTGGGGCAGTGGCAGCCAGGCATGAGGCGGAGGCGGCCAAGCCCAGGGTGGCCAGTCCAGGAACACCCAGACCCGGAGTGGCCGGGCCCAGAGAAGCCGAGCCCAGAGCAGCCGGGGTGGGAGCAGCCAGACCCAGAACAGAAGTAACCAAGCCCAGAGCATCCAGGTCGGGAGTGGCCAGGCTCGGAGCGGCTGGGCCCGGGGCAGCCGGGCCCAGAGCAGCCGGGTCTTGTGCAGCCAGGCCCAGAGCAGCAGTTGCCAGGCTGGGAGCGGCCAGGCCCGGGGGAGCAGGCGGGGCTGGTGCGGCCAGACCCGGAGCAGCGGCTGCCAGGCTGGGAGCGGCCAGGACTGGGGGAGCAGGCGGGTCGGGTGCGGCCAGGCCCGGAGCAGCGGCTGCCAGGCTGGGAGCGGCCAGGCCCGGGGGAGCAGGCGGGTCGGGTGCGGCCAGGCCCGGAGCAGCGGCTGCCAGGCTGGGAGCGGCCAGGCCCGGGGGAGCAGCCGGGGCTGGCTGGTGTGGCCAGGCCCGGAGCAGCGGCTGCCAGGCTGGGAGCGGCCAGGCCCGGGGGAGCAGGCGGGTCGGGTGCGGCCAGGCCCGGAGCAGCGGCTGCCAGGCTGGGAGCGGCCAGGCCCGGAGCAGCAGCAGCCAAGTCCAGAGCAACTAGGTTGGGAGCGGCAGTGAGCAGACCAGGAGCAGCTGGTTGTGGAATGAACCAGAGCAACAGAGGCCTGGCCCTGAGCAGCCAGGCCCAGAACAGCTCGCTCCTTGCCTGCCCCTGCCCCACGGCTGCTTCTCAGATATGGCTGGAAACTTTCGTGGGAACTTGAGGGTCTGCTGAATCAAGTGATGAAGGCTTAGATCTGGATGTGTTGAGTTAGTTTAGGACTGGGGTGTTGATCTGTGAGTGCCTTGGGTGGGGCCTGGATGAGGCTGGTGGACCTATTGGGAAATGTCTTTTGTGTGAAGTGTATCATTGGGCATGTGGAGGTATTATTGATATGAGAAAATGCTAAGTAACTGATTTACTATCTGAAAAGGGATTTACTATTGGGGAAAGGGAGGGAAGAAGAGACTGAATATAAACTGCACCTATGGATGAGGACAATGGGGGATGGGGAGGGGGCAGAGGGTGGGGTGGGAACCTGGTGGAGGGGGGAAGAAATGAGGAACCTTTGTAATAATATGAACAATAAAGATTGATTAAAAAAAAAAAAGTTTTCAATATTTGACAACCGTTTTTGTGATTATGAGAGGATTTCCTTGTTTTTAGAAAATTCAGGCAAGTATAAAGATGTCTTTAACTCTCAAATTTTTAGGAACAATAATCACAACAGCAGCAATAAAGTGTGCAATCTAGGCAAAGGGTACATGATAGTTTTTACAATTCTTCCGTGGGTTTGAATTATTATAAGAGATAAAAATAAGTAAAATAAATAAAATAGATATAATTTCCATGCTAGAAAGTTAATTGACTCACTTCAAAATACAGATCAAATTTGTCAAAAAAAATTACTAAAGATAATGAAAGAAATATTAAGTCAATTATGAAAAGAAGCCTGAGTCTGCTCTATCCTTTTAAACTTTTTCTTTTCTAATTTTTTTTCCATATGTTTTCATTGACTTTTAGAGAGAGAGGAGAGAGAGAGAGAGAGGGGGGAGAGAGAGAGAAAGAGAGAGAGAGAGAGAGAGAGAGAGAGAGAGAGAGAGAGAGAGAGAGAGAGGGAGAGAGGGAGAAACATCAATGAGAGCCGAAACCGGTTTGGCTCAGTGGTAGAGCGTCGGTCTGTGGACTGAAAGGTCCCAGGTTCAATTCCGGTCAAGGGCATGTACATTGGTTGCGGGCACATCCCTAGTTGGGGGTGTGCAGGAGGCGGCTGGTCAATGTCTCTCATTGATGTTTCTAGCTCTTTATCCCTCTCCCTCTCTGTGAAAAATCAATAAAATATTTTTTTTTTTTAAAAAGAAAAGAAACATCAATGAGAAAGAACTATTGATCAGCTGCCTCCTGCACACCACCTACTGGGGATCAAACCCAAAACCCAGGCATGTGTCCTGACCGGTAATTGGTCAGTGAACCTCTTGGTGTATGGGTGGATGCTCAACCACTGATCAACACTGGCTGGGCAAAGTCCTTAAAACTCTTAAAATAGTCTATCTCAAGAAAACTGTGGCTATAAAGTGGCTAAATAAATGAAGCAATTTTTTAATAGAAGGGCTGTGAAAGCTATGTAAGAAGAAAAAAGGCACTATAAATTTGGTCACCTTCTCTCCCAGTGGGCAACCTGCATCCCACTCCCTCAGCCTCAGATACACTCTCCAAATCTTTGGAGATCCAGCAATGGATGGGTGTCGGGCTCCCCTCTGAACATTCCCATGTGGCTTGTTACTATTCTGCTTGCCCCAGCAGGGATTCCAGTGAGACAGAGGACAGCTGAGTTCTTAACAATGCAGACAAGAAGCCCAAGAATGTGGTTAAGGACCATATCAGGAAGACTGAGTATTAGAGAAATGGAACGGTGACACTGGAGAATGTGAACAATCTAGCCCAGTGGTTAGCAAACTCATTAGTGAACAGAGCCAAATATCAACAGTACAAGGATTGAAATTTCTTTTGAGAGCCAAAATTTTTATAAGTACCACGCGCTAACTGATTGCGCCACTGGAGCCTTGAGAGCCAAAATTTTTAAACCTAAACTTCTTCTAAGGCACTTCTTCAAAACAGACTCGCCCAGGCCGTGGTATTTTGTGGAAGAGCCGCAATGAAGGGACCAAAAAGCCCCATGTGGCTCGCGAGCCACAGTTTGCTGACTACGGATCTAGTCTCAGTGAGGCATCAGCTCTGAAAAACAAATAAGATTTCCCTCTTGGAGTAAGAATAAGAGCTATGAAGGGGAGAAAAAGGATATCCCCAAGCACAAGTCTAATAGAAGGGCTGTGAAAGCTATGTAAGAGGTACTTAAAAACCAAGAGAAATGCTTCTACTCAGGATATTTGCAGCCAGCAACTATCTGAATGTCATGGCAATGGTGAGATTTGGGAGATGAATTCTGATTCTCCACATTAAGGTAGTCTTTGCAATGTAGTAAATTATTATAATTTGCATTTATTATTATAATTTATAAGATAAAACACTGGTTCAGAGAAAAAGGTTAGATATTTTGCATTTGGGGAAAACTAAACTGAGCTCAAAACTATGAATTTTTATAAAGAGACATTTGCATAAATATAATTCACTTATCAGTGTTTGGAAAAATAGTTGAGACAAAATTTAATCAGAATAGCTATAGTTAGTTAAGCTGTTACAAAAGAAGAAAATTCTGAACATGCACGAGAGGTAATACTATGTATACAAAATCTGGAATAAGATTTTAACTGAAGAGTATTAGAGAACACATATATACAAATAGAAGCCCCTTATTTCCCTCTCTACCTTAAAGAGATTTGGTAGGAGAGATTTAATATTGGAATGAGCACTTGGAACACTCATGGCTCAACATTAACTCAACATGTGATAACCCATATGGATGGAATATGAGATATCCTTAAAACGGTTTTGTTTTTTTTAAATATATTTTTTATTGATTTTTTACAGAGAGGAAGGGAGAGGGAGAGTTAGAAACGTCGATGAAACATCGACCAGCTGCCTCTTGCACACCCCCTATCGGGGATGTGCTGGCAACCAATGTACATGCCCTTGGCCAGTATCAAACCTGGGACCCTTCAGTCCGCAGACCAACGCTCTACCGCTGAGCCAAACCAGTTTCAGCCTTAAAATGTTTTTTTATCCCTTCACCAACCCAAGAAAGTTTAGAGGAGAAAAATCTCATGATGAATAATAATGATTTTTTTAAGTCATTATTTACTCACTAGAGGCCCGTGCATGAAATTCGTGTACTGAGGTGAGTGGTGGTGGTGGTGGTGGTGTCCCTTAGCACAGCCTGCACCCTCTCCAATCTGGTATCCCTTGAGGGATGTCCAACTGCCCGTTTAGGCCTGATCCCAGGCAGTCAGACATCCCTCTCACAATCCAGACTGCTGACTCCCAACTGTTTGCCTGCCTGCCTTCCTGAATGCCCCTAACCGCTTCTGCCTGCCAGCCTGATCACCCCCTAACCACTCCCCTGCCAGCCTGATTGATACCTCACTGCTCCCTTGCCAGCCTAATTGCCCCTAACTGCCCTCCCCTGAAGGCCTGGTCACCCCTAACTGCCTTCCCCTGCAGGTCTGGTCTCCCCAACTGCCCTTCCCTATAGGTCTGGTCACCCCCAACTCTTCTCCCCTGCCGGCCTGGGTTACCCCCAACTGCCCTTCCCTGAAGACCTGGTCACCCCTAACTGTCCTCCCTTGCAGGCTTGATCACCCCCAACTGTCCTCCCTTGCAGGCCTGGTCCCTCCCAACTGCCCTCCCCCCCTGCTGGCCATCTTGTGTCTACATCAGGGCTGCCATCTTGTGTGTTGGAGTGATGATAGAGGCCTGGTGCATGGGTGGGGGCTGGCTGGTTTGGCCTGAAGGGTGTCCCGGATCAGGGTGGGGGTTTCCTTGGGATGTAGGGCAGCCTGGGTAAGGGGCTGTGGTGGTTTGCAGGCTGGCCACCCTCTACCCCCCCAATCGACCCAAGCAGAGGCCCTGGTATCTGGAATTTATTTATCTTCTATAATTGAAACTTTGTAGCCTTAAGTAGAGGCCTGGGCCGGCCAGGGTGGGTGGGAAGCTTGGCTTCCTCTATCGCTGGGGGCAACCCAAGCCTCCTGTTTGCTATAGCTCTGTGGCCGCCACGAAATTTGTTGGGTTAATTTGCATACTCAATCCTGATTGGCTAGTGGGCATGGCTTGTTGGCGCAGTGGAGGGATTTATGTGCCTAGTAAATGTCAGTCCATTGACTTCTAAAGTCCCTTCTAATTTTAAGGTTTGAATCCTGTGATTACTAGAAGGAGATTAAGTAGAAGTACATATAACAGTGTGAACCACCTCCTGTAAGGGTTCTGACAAATGTCTAGTGGTTCTGTTTGGGTGATCTGCATTTTTTTTTTTTTTTTTTTTAAATTACCTGCTTCCGTGTTTTGGAATCCATAAATTAAAGGCTTATTCAATGCCTGGGAGCTAATTAGTCTTTCTTTCCACTTCTAAGATTGTTGAATACTACTCATCCAATGAGGAAGTAAAATAACTATATGTACCTAAAAGTCTCATACAGGATTGAAGGGAGGGTATTTTGGAATACCCACTTAAGAAAAATTGGCAGTACCCAGCTGGTGTGGCTCAGCGGTTGAGCAATGACTCACAAACTTGGATATGATGGTTGGATTCCCTATCAGGGCACATACCCTGGTTGCTGGCTCAATCCCCAGAAGGGGCGTGCAGGAGGCAGCTGATCAATGATTCTCTCTCATCATTGATGTTTCTATCTCGCTCTCCCTCTCCTTTTCTGAAATCAATAAAAAAAGAAACTGGCAATATCTAATAAAGTTCAACTTCATACCCTTCAACCAGCAATTCCACTCCTACATATCTACCTCATAAATTCATACATATGTTCAGCAAACACTGACCTAGCAGCACTATAAATTGTGGCAGTCATACAATAGAAAAAAAAAAGTCAGTAAGGAGAATAAACTACCACTTTACATGGATGAATCTCAAAACCATAATTTGAGCAAAATGAGTCAGGTATGAAAAAACACATAGTATATGATTTAATTTATGTAGATTTCAAAAACCGGCAAAACTCATCTACAGTGTTAGAAATCAGATAGTGGCTACTTTAAGTGGGAAGAATGTAAGTAGTTAACTTAAGAGTGTGTGGGTGTATGTGTACATCTGTATAACTATAATAGGGCAGGAGGAAGGACTCTGGGATGTCAGTAATGTTCCATGTCTAAATCAAAGTGCTCAAATACTCACAAAGTCAAATTAACTTGTATACTTTTGTATGTGTGTTATTCTTCAATAAAAACTTTGTAGAAAAAGAAGACTATCCCTTCTTCAGGGATACCTCATAATAGACATCAAAAGTTTAAGGAAAGCCCTAGCCAGTTTTGCTCAGTGGATAGAGCATTGGCCAGCAGACCGAAGAGTCCTGGGTTTGATTCTGGTCAAGGACACATGCCCAGGTTGTGGGCTTGAACCCCAGTGGGGGGCGTGCAGGGGGTAGCCAATCAATGACTCTCTCTGATCATTGTTTCAGTTTCCCTCTCCCTCTCCTTCTCCTTCTCCCTTCCTCTCTGAAATCAATAAAAATATTTAGAAAAAAAATAAAGCTTAAGGAAAGAGTCAGTCTCCTTTTGAGGATCTTATTAGAAAGCTTGCCCTCATATAGTTTGGGTATCTGGACTAGTGCTTAAGAGACCAATAAACCACGAAAAAAAAAATACATAATTGTCCAATTCCAATTAATAGAATTAAAACAAAGACACAATTCAATACTGGTGCTTAAAGACACTAGCTTCCTTCATTGTACTTCTTTTTAAAAAAAAAAAAATATTTTATTGGATTTTTTACAAAGAGGAAGGAAGAGAGAAAGAGAGCTAGAAATATTGATAAGAGAGAAACATTGACCAGCTGCCTCCTGCACACCCCACTATTGGGGATGTGCCCGCAACCAATGTACATGTCCCTGACCGGAATCGAACCCAGGACTTTTCAGTTCACAGACTGATGCTCAATCCACTGAGCCAAACTGGTTTTGGCTCATTGTACTTCTTGAACTATTTCTAATGGCTAGATGCATTTTTTACACTAACCTGAAGCAATAGCTGCCTCCGCGGAGATCTGGATCCAAGTTTAAATCCCTTTTAAAAGCAGAATTTGGGCCAGAAGCTCCATATTCATGTTATTAATTCTATTCTACATCTTGTTAGCTATTTAACCAGGAAAATTTTACAAGAGTAGATAGATCTGTCACTATTTGTTAAACCAGGTCATGATTTCCAAGAATGCCTTGAAAGATGAAATATATTAAAAAATAAACATGAATAAAAATCCAACCCCATTTCACATAAAACAAAGCAGAAAAGAAGGAGTTATAATAAGAGATCAAACTGATAGAATAAGAGCCAAATATCATTACAATGTTCTTACCGGTGTAGTTTGCCACCATAAAATGGCTTAGTATGAAAAGTGATGCTGGCTGAATAACCAGTTTTTGCACAGTTGACACTGACTTTGCCACCCAGTTCCACCCAAGGAACAGTTAAAATCGACCGGGCATATGCACAAGGTAGAGAAAATGTATACTCTTCTCCATGCTCCAATAGACTAAGGATACCTAAATATAAAAACATAAAGATTGTTACTATCGTAAAAGTACAGCTATGAAAAATCCACATTATGTTTTCTCCTGTCAAGTAAATAAACATAATTTTGCTTAATTTTTAGTATTTAACTTTGGATGAAATTGGCTTCATTTACAATTGTATTGGACACCAATTCTTGCTAATAATGAATCACGATTACTTCCACTATGACCTCACTATTTCTGTGGGGTTCATAGAACCCGATAATGTTCAGTGGAAATAGTACAAGAGTTCCCTCTAACAATCCTAAAAATAAAAAATAAAAACCTTAAGTCAGAGTTTAAGGCCATGCTAAGATTTGATCATTATTAAATATTACAAAAAGTATGCCGAAGCCGGTTTGGCTCAATGGATTGAGTGTCGGTCTGCGGACTGAAAGGTCCCGGGTTCGATTCCGGTCAAGGGCATGTACATTGGTTTCGGGCACATCCCCAGTAGGGGGTGTGCAAGAGGCAGCTGGTCCATGTTTCTCTCTCATCGACATTTCTAGCTATCTCTCTTCCTTCCTCTCTGTAAAAAATCAATAAAATATATATAAAAAAATATTACAAAAAGTAACTAGTATTAACAACTTTTTTAGCAGTTTGGAAATAACTTTAATATTATAGAATCATAGACCTTAATCTTAGATGGTATGATAAAAAGTGTTCTTCATTCTGTTTTATATATATTAAGGAAAAAATGAAATTTTATGACAAAACTATGGTAATCAAAATTCTGTTTGCCAAATTTTGAAGTATTTATGGTAAAGTTACAAGAGACAGAAGTGGTAGTTTTCAAAAAAATATAGAGCTCTAAATGGGCTTGTTACATATTAAGTGATGCTATATTAAGAAGTTTAAAAACATATAAAAAGGGAATTAAATTAATGACTAATTAATCTATCTATCTATCTATCTATCTATCTATCTATCTATCTATCTATAAAAGGCTAAGGGATCATCTGTCCGGTAGCTATGATGCACAATGACCACCAGGGGGCAGACAATCAATGCAGGAGCTGCTGAGCTGTGGTGACTCGGCAGCAGCGGTTCTCAGGTAACACACCCCAGAAACAGAGAAGAAGGAGCCTGATTCTGGGTGTGTTGCCTGAGAACCTCCTTCTTGCAATCCAGGACACCCCTTGGGGGATGTTAAAGAGCCGGTTTCAGCCCAATTCCCGCAGGCCAGGCCAAGTGACCCCACCTTCTGGAGGGACCCCGCTCACTCAGTAGACGCCCTTCGAGCCATGGTGCCACCCCAGATGCGGCTGGCTGGGGAGGGACCGTGGAAGGCTGGCTCCAGGGCGTGCCTGGCCTGTCTCGTGCAGTCCTGTCCTGCCAGCCACTTTCTTTTTTTAATTTATTTATTTATTTATTTATTTATTTATTTATTTATTTTTAAATCAATCTTTATTGTTCATATTATTACAAAGGTTCCTCATTTCTTCCCCCCTCCACCAGGTTCCCACCCCACCCTCCGTCCCCCCCCCATCCCCCACTGTCCTCATCCATAGGTGCAGTTTATGTTCAGTCTCTTCTTCCCTCAATTTCCCCAATAGTAAATCCCTTTTCAGATAGTAAATCAGTTACTTAGCATTTTCTCATATCAATAATACCTCCACATGCCCAATGATACACTTCACACAAAAGACATTTCCCACTAGGTCAACCAGCCTCATCCAGGCCCCACCCAAGGCACTCACAGATCAACACCCCAGTCCTAAACTAACTCAACACATCCAGATCTAAGCCTTCATCACCTGATTCAGCAGACCCTCAAGTTCCCACGAAAGTTTCCAGCCATGTCTGAGAAGCAGCCGTGGGGCAGGGGCAGGCAAGGAGCGAGCTGTTCTGGGCCTGGCTGCTCAGGGCCTCTGCCAGCCACTTTCTAATTAATCTCCTTTCAATGTGCATGAATCCGTGCACCAGGGCACTAGTACTAAATAATTAAAGAGATTCTAAGAAGACTTGAGCTCTATTACCAACTTTAGCTTATTATCTAGTTAACATCAAAATAATTACTGAACTGGATATGTACTACTGGTCCGAACTGTTCCAATATCTCTCTCTTAATGAATGCTCATTAAGTACTCTGTACTTAATATTCACAAATTAGGGCAAGAGCTACAATAAATATTTTAACATAGTATACTTTTAGGATAAGCAAATAGACAATCTGAGAGTCTACTTTACACGTAGTAACCAACTTTTTTTTTTTATTGCCCTTAGTTTTAAAAAATATATTTTTTATTGATTTCAGAGCAGAAGGGAGAGAAAGAGAGATAGAAACATCAGAAGGGAGAGAAAGAGAGATAGAAACATCATGATAAGAGAGAACCATGGATTGGCTGCCTCCTGCATGCCCCATAATGGGGATCTGGGGATCGAGTTTGCAACCTGGGTATGTGCCCTGACTGGGAATCGAACTTGTGATCTCCTGGTTCATAGGTCAATGCTCAACGCCGGCCGGGCACCCTTAGTAGTTTTCATAAAAGGCAACAATAAATCAAGAATTATCGAGCCATTTCATAGGGGATATGGTTCTGGCTATAATATGTTTATATATAATGGGAGATGTCAGAGACATAATTTACTTGGGTATACTTCAAGTGTTTAATAATAAATTGATTAACTCAAAGTTGAAAAAGATATTTTTATGGCTTTTCTAAAAATATATGATCTTATAAACTGGATTTAGAATCTTTGATTTCTAAGAATACATTTCACATAAGTAGCATACACTGTGGAATTTAAGACCTGAAGAAATAAACACCCAGTTTCAAATGTATGTGATAAGACACAAGTAAAAACAACTGAGATCCAAAGAATTCTAAAATATCTTTTTCTAATAAACAGAATTTTCTTCAACTATTAAATAAAAACATGGCTTCTGCCCGGCTGGTGTGATTCAGAGATTGAGCGTCAACCTATGAACCAGAAGGTCACAGTTTGATTCCTAGTCAGGGGACATGCTGGGTTGAGTTGCAGGCTTGATATTTAATGGAGAGGCAGCCAATCAATGATTCTCTCTCATCACTGATGTTCCTATCTCTTTCTCCCTATCCTATCCTCTTTGAAATCAATAAAAATATATTTTTAAAAAATAATAAAATAAAAAGCATAGCTGCTGTAGGAGCAAAATGAATTGTCATAAGTTCCATTCTATTATTTAATTTACTTTCTTTTGAGGGTAACCAATAACAATTTAACTTCTAAAAGACGATTCATGAATATATAATTAAGATTTAAATAATAAAAAAATTATCTATCATATATCTCCTCCACAATTAATGCATGGTTAAGATATTAATGTTTTCCTCATATCTTGAGGTATTTCCTTTCATGGAGTGGGAGAGGCTATCATTACCAGTTTCCTTGTTATATGAGCTGGTAAGAGAACTGTCCTGAGGAATAACGTGCCAAAGAATGAGGTTCTCTGCCTCCTTCTGGCTATGCCTTTCTTAACCTGAATTACCAAGACACATCTCATCATCCAGACTTCAGTTTTTTAACCTATGAAATAAATAAATGTATTTATGAAGAGGTCAAGGCTAATGTTAAAAGCTATAGGTGGCAAACTTTATTTTTAAACTATTAAAATATTTTCTAATGTTATAAAACTCTTGTTTAGTTTGAAACATTATCTGGAAAATGGTTAGACTCACAACAGATGTTAAAAATACTATAGGAAAAACTGAAACGGGGATAAAATATTTTCTTTGCAGCTACAATTACACAATCTCAAAATGTTAGAGCTATAGGCTTAATTATGTCCTACACTGTTAAGTTTACATTCAGAACAAATTATTCTATGCATAATGGTGTTCCCTTAACATTAAAATGGTACTTTTTTCTGCCTTTATACAGGGTAGGATAAAAGTAGGTTTACAATTTTGAGTATGCAAAAGAGTTTATTCTTATATTATTATCATTGTATTATTTTCCATACAAACAACTATAATTGTCCTACCCTTTATTTGCAGTAATTCTGCAATGATTTCTGTGGACGTTTTTTTGTTTTGTTTTGGTATTCTTGGCCAAAAAACACTGTATTTCCTAAATTATTTTTTCATAATCTTTAGCTGAAGTAGAATTAAAGTTTGGTGATGTATTTTAAAATAGTCTATTAATATCTCCTTACAAATGTGGATATATTTAAAAGAAATAGAAAAGATGAAGATTTATCTACAAGATATTTCTTGAGTGCTTTTTATAATAATGAAAAAGTATATTTTAAAGTATTATCAGTGACATAAAAAATAAATATTTAGTGTAAAAAAAGTGGGAAAGAAAACTATACGGACAGAATTAGTCCTAAGTTTATAAAACTAAAATAAAAGTATGAACATACACACACTTAAAATTACGAAATGTTAGCATAGAATTTATATTTTCATTAATATGCCCCCTCACCTCCCCAGCATTCTGTAACATTCTAGAAAATGGGGGGGGGGGGGTGAGGGGGGAGTAGTACACATAACATTTCAAATTTAAATTCACATTTATTTAGATTCCCAAACTTTAAAATTATAATTTGATATTAAAAATTGGTGAACAAATTTCCTACTTACCTTCTCCAACCATCGTCACGCCTATCGACATGCCTAAGAATTTGCTCTTAGTCCAGACATGCGCATTTACGCACATCTTCCTCTCTGCACATTCTGCGTAAAATCCTGATACTGGAGGATGATGGGAAACCTGTTCAGCAACAAATCTGACTGTATAGCAGTCTGGTCCCACCTGGCTTACAGCCTCCTCTGATAGAGGAGCATGATTTGTGACTGCCTGGGTGGAAGAGTTGCTTGCAACACTGGATGCTACCTCGCTTTTTGGCATCTTCCAGGAACAGTGAAATGTTTCTCCAATGATAGGATTGTACGGTTTCTTAGCAATGGCTCCCTTACGGCCTTCATGAAATGAGGTAAGGTAGTACTCAACAAAACGAATCATCCTGTCCTCAGCTGTGGCTCCATTAGTGATGGCTATAAATAGATCGGGATGAGACATAAAGTCTGCATACATTTCCAGCAAGGAACGCTTCTCTAGGATAAATGTAGGAAGCACCACCTAGAACAGTAAAAACAACAAAATAAAGAAATGTTAATCCAATGTAGGTAACTATTCTTATCTCTCAGAAAACATTTCAGCCTAAATGGTTATTAAACACAAAGCCACAAAGCTCATTAGAAAATAAGCATTGGCTTTACTAATTATACATAAATAAATAAAATATTAAGATTTTTTTAAAAAGCATGCTTAACAGGAAACAAAAATCTTCCCAAGTGGAGAGAAAGGAAGAAGAAAAAAAGAGAGAGAGAGAACCGGGGAGTCCAAAAGCCATGTAAGAAGAGTTTGAGAAAGAGAGAGCAGCAAAAAAATGGAGGAGAGAAAATTACCAATGAAATAATTCAAGATTCAGCCGAGACTGGTTTGGCTCAGTGGGTAGAGCGTCGGTCTGCAGACTGAAAGGTCCCGAATTCGATTCCGGGCAAGGGCATGTACCTGGGTTGCGGGCACATCCCCAATGGGGAGTGTGCAAGAGGCAGCTGGTTGATGTTTCTCTCTCATCGATGTTTCTAGCTCTCTATCTCTCTCCCTTCCTCTCTATGAAAAAATCAATAAAATACATTAAAAAAAAAAATGATACCCAGTTGAGATGTTGTTAGATGAGGATGAAAGGTTAATGGCTTCTTTATTAATTCCAAAAAATGCCTGCTTCTTAGCAGGCTATTAATTCCATCATTTTTATTTTATTTTAAGCTTTAATTGGCTTTATTAAGTGATTCATGAATTGGGCAGCATTCAATCTAGCAACTAGAAGTGTACTCCCCAATCCACTTACTTTTAAACCCTTCTTATAATGATTGTAAGTTTAAGAAAATAAATAAATGTGTTTTTTCAAAATTTGAAATACTTCTAAATGAATATAAAAGGCAATGTGCTTTTTCTATTCAAATTATATCTTCAGATGAATAATTTGCTGAATCAAAGAACCTTTTAACCTACTTTCACTATTTCACTGGCATAAAAAAACCTCAATTTGAAATACACTTCATAAGTCAATTTTGAAATGCCATACTACTGCAAAGTAATATCAGTAGTAATTCAAAGTACATAATCCAAAGTAGTAAATATTTGACATATATAGGTTTTAAACATGATTTTTGTGTGTGTGTGTGTGTGTGTGTGTGTGTGTGTGTGTGTGTGTGTATAATCCTCAACCGAGAATCTTTTCCCATTGATTTTGAGAGAGTGGAAGGAAGAGGGAAAGACAGAGAGAACACTGATGTGAGAGAAACACATTGACTGGTTGCTTCTTGCCTGAGCCCCGATCAGGGCCGGGGCCAGGAAGGAGCCTGCAACAGAGGTACATGTCCTTGACTGGAACCTGAGACCCTTTGGTGTGCAGGCCAACGCTTTATCCACTGAGCCAAACCAGCTAGGGCTAACCCTGATTATTTTTTTAAATTGACATAGATTAACTGTTAAAAACAAATTAAGGCATACTAATTAAATAATCTAGGAATGGAGAAGACTGGCTTAAAATTAAAACTATAGATCAGTGCTAATCACACTTTAATGTATCCCTTGGAGTCTTATTAAAATGTGGTACCTGGTCCTGTGAGCCTGGGATGGGAGGCTAGGATTCTGCATTTCTAACAAGCTCTCAGGCAATGGTGATTCTACTGGTCTTCAGACCACACTCCCTCCCTCCCCCGCCACCAGTTTCATTGAGGTATAATTGACAAAACTGTAAGATAATTTAAGTATATATTATGGTAATTTTATATACACATATTGTGAAAAGATTCCCACTATCTAATTAATTCAGACATAGTCTGCAACCTATGTATGGCCTTTTGTCAAATCTGGCATCCTGCTTTTATATATAAAGTTTTGTTGAAACATAGCCATGCCCAATTCAACATATTATCTATGGATACTAAGGCAGAGTTAAGTAGTTCCAACAGAGACCTATGCCCACATAGCCAAAAAATAATTACTTTCTGGTCCTTTACAGAAAATGTTTGTTATAGATAATACCCAAAATGTGCTATCCAACATGGGAAGTAAGAGTAAAGTAGAAGTATCAATGCCTTTCATGGTTTTGTGGGGTTATACATCCTTTTCTTTTTCTTTTTTATATATATTTTTTATTGATTTTTTTTTTACAGAGAGGAAAGGAGAGGGATAGAGAGTTAGAAACATCGATGAGAGAGAATCATCAATTAGCTGCCTCTTGCACACCTCCTATTGGGGATGTGCCCGCAATCCAGGTACATGCCCTTGACCGGAATCAAATCCGGAACCTTTCAGTCCGCAGGCTGACGCTTTATCCACTGAGCCAAACGGGTTTCGGCTTCTTTTTCTTTTTTTGTTAATCCTCACCTGAGGATATTTTTTCCATCAATTTTCAGAGACGGTGGAAGGGAGAAAGACACAGAGGGAGAAACATCAATTGATTGCCTCCTGCACACTGGGGCCAGGGAGGATAGGGGATCTAGCCTGCAACAGAGGCATGTGCCCTTCATTAGAACTGAATTCAGGATCCTGGTATGCAGCTGACACTCTAACCACTGAGCCAAGGTGGCTAGGACCATCCTTTTCTTTAAATTTTAGTTCTGTCTACCAATGGACCCTTTTAATTTTGTACAGAAACAAGAAAACTGTAAGTCCTCATTTGCTATGAAACTTCCTGCTGGTAATATTTTTTAAAATAAGAAATTACTTTAGCCGGTTTGGCTCAGTGGATAGAGCATCAGCCTGCGGACTGAAAGGTCCCGAATTCGATTCCGGTCAAGGGCATGTACATTGGTTGAGGGCACATCCCCAGTGGCAGCTGATCGATGATTCTCTCTCATCGATGTTTCTAACTCCCTGTTCCTCTCCCTTCCTGTCTGTAAAAAATCAATAAAATATATTTAAAAAAAAGAAAAAGAAAAAGAAATTACTTTAATGAAAATAAGAAATGCTGATCAAGAGACTAAGAAACAAATTCATAAAGACTAAAAAGCCCTGACAACATTAATGATTACAGGTATAGCAGGTATAGTCGTGACCAATGACTTCAACAGACAGTTTATCCCATTACTTACTCTTGTTAAGTCCATGCCCAGCTTGAGCTGTGACAAGAGATGTAGGATAACACTGCGTTGCTCTTCCACAGCTCCCAGGTCTTCCTCCTTGTTGTCACAAGTATCCTCCACCTCATCATCTGTATTTATTTCTTCAGGTTCCTTGATGCAAAACAAGTCTATGGTTACAAATGCTTATTCATATCGTTCAAGAAAAAGTTTAAACATCAGACTTAAAGACATTTATGTTGGGCCTAAATCAATCCGAGAACAGGCAAAAATCTTTTTGCAAATGTAACTTCCAACACCTCGTCATAGAATAGATTTACTTCAATGAACCCATTATTGCTGATGCTGAACTTTTTAAAGATTTTTCCATATATATCATAATATATATATACACATATATATAGCAAAATTAGGGTACTTCAAAAAGAGTGAAAAATGTCACTTATGAATCTCAGGCTTTGTAGGCATTGACCACCAACCTGGGAATACCACCACTACCTATAACTTGAGTTCAAGATATTTTGAGACAAATATTTGTCCTATTTTAAGCCAAAACTAAAAACGTAAAATTTTAAAAGTGACTGTGCATGTCAAATTTAACTATTGTAATCTATACTCATTCATTCTTGGAGTTGTCAGGAAGAAACCTAGGGTATGGAAATCCTGCAGTTACTCATGCCTTCTTCTTCTTCTTTAAATTATCTTAGAGAGAGGAAGGCAAGGAGAGAGAGGAAGAGAAACTTCAGTTATTTCCTGCTTGCACCGCAACCAGGTGTATGGGATGCCCAACCAACTGAGCCACACCAGCCAGGGCCCTCATGCCTTATTAATACCACAAAAAGTTCTTTGCCCAGCTCTTCAGTCTGTCAGTCAGTCAGCCAGTCAATCAAAAAACCCTTGGAAAACTGAAAATGTCTACCTTTACCTCAATAAAGCCTTAGCTCCAAATAATTGGTTTAAAGAAACTTAATTTCTTTTTAAACATCAATACCAGTTTCAAATCCCAAGATTCTAAAGAACCTTATCAGATGTCACTTTCCATGTTGACCTGGGGGTGGTGTCCCATCTCTCTCATGGTATCTCTTCTTACTACCTCTATGCAAGACAGTTTCATATATGTATATTGCCTTTAGTACTGTATTAGATTTTAAGTTATGAAGATTTTAAAAAGGAAATAACCTCCCTTTTGTTAAGACAAGATTTCCTTCTTTTTATTTTTTATTTATTTATTTATTAAATATATTTTATTGATTTTGTACAGAGAGGAAGGGAGAGAGAGAGAGAGTCAGAAACATCGATGAGAGAGTCATCAATCAGCTGCCTCTTGCACACCCCCTACTGGGGATATGCCCGCAACCAGAGTACATGCCCCCCGACCGGAATCGAACCCGGGACCTTTCAGTCCCCAAGCCAACGCTCTATCCATTGAGCCAAACCAGTACCGGCAATTTCCTTCTTTTTAAAAATATATAGATTTTTAGTGATTTCAGAGAGAGAAGAGAGAAGGAGAGAAAGAAACATCAATGATGAGAGAGAATCATCATTGGCTGCCTCCTGCATGCCACACATTGGGGATAGAGCCCACAACCTGGGCATGTGCCCTGATTGGGAATTGAACAGTGACCTCTTGGTTCATAGGTCGATGCTCAACTACTGAATCATGCTGGTCAGTCAGGCATAACTTTCCCTTTTAAATATGTCCCCAAATCCTATCATCCAAGAAGTTAATCTATTTTGTGTAGCTAGGCAGAGAAAACCAATCCTAATCAGGCACAAAATCAAGAACTTAATGTTCTCTCAAAACACTCACAACAAAATATTAAACATAGTGACAGTTAAAGGGTAGTGGGTTTCTAGCCATTCTTCTACCTCTTTCTCTTTTTTTCCTCCTCTTTTCTTCTACCAAGGAAATCTGTATCTGTTCAAATTCTGATAAATCAATTAATGGCTTAGTTTATTACACAATTTTGTTTGTACAAATCAGAATTACTTCTGTTTTTTAGAGCTTGAAGAGAAATTCCAAAGGCGTTCTCACTTCCTCCTTTCAATGACTAGGAAGTCTTTCCATGAAGTATTTCCTGTTATCTATTCTAAATCATTTGCACAATATAGTTTACGTAAACATTCTTGGGAAAGTTTATTCATCATAAAACAGGGGTGGAGGGGTTGATTATTCCCCTCATCCCATTCTCTCTGTATGGATATTAACTATAATAATTATTCACTTGAGAAAAGTTGAAAAACACACCATACAACCTAACAGGTCTTGATTATATAATGTTCTCCAATCCTCTGACTAGGTACCACTGCATTGGGGTCATAACCTAAGACACAGATTAATAATGCAAATGTAACCCTGACATGATTATACAAGATAAAGTTTACATTGCAGTTTCTCCTAATGAAAAGAGTATTAAATTAAAGAAATACAGTATAATCTGGCAGAAAACCTATTTAAAGAAATAGTTTTTATTGTATTTATAAAAATAGTCGACTCACTTATTAGAATAGAAAGAAAAAAAAAAGGAATTCTAATGAATACTGATTCTAAAACCTAGTGTGAATGAAAAAACTTGGAAGTTCTCCTTTCTTTTTAAAATGGCTCTTTTTATAGGTCATGTCTTTCTAAAGAAAAGCTTAAGGTAAGGTAAAAGAATAAAATAAGTAAAGTATTGCCAAATTTCAAATAAATTCCAAATGTATAAAATCCCTACAAAACCAGAATGGTTAGCAAATACAGTAGAACAAAGAATTCATTCAATTTGGAGATTGCATGGCAAACACACACACACACACACACACACACACACACACACACACACACACACTTTTTGTCCTGATTCCTGACTTGGGCACAACAGAACCAGAAGCTTCATTCTAGCCTCATGGGGTCTATTTACTCCATTGCCTGACACGAAATCTCCACAGCTATGTATCTCCAACTTGCATCAACACTCATATTTCAAAAAAAGGCATATGTGAATTTTTTATATTCATGTCTATTATGATGTGCTTCAATTAAGTCTAATGTCTTTTAATTTAGTATTATATGTACTAATTTTTTCTACTTACATGTGATATACTTTGTCTACTCAACATTCAAAAGATTTGAAAATATAACAATCTTCTCCTCCCTACCTCTGTGCTGCATCTCCAACATATGCCTCTATCCTGACCGCCAGCACGTTTTGTATTCTCATTTAGAAGAATAAAGATGGAGTATATAATCTATCGTTTACAGTTTTTTGACTTGCAAATTACATCTCAAGTCCTAATCTCTCTCCAAAGCTTTAATTTCATCATTTCCAACTGCTTTTTATATATATTTATAATCACTTATCCTCTTTTCACATAAAATCCAACTATATTCATAAATCATACTAAATCATTTTTCTCAAAAAGCTTTCTTCCTAATTTTCCTAGCTTTGTGACTGGCACCACAATCTTATCTAATCATTTAGGCTAAAAAAATTGGGATCATCTTTGATCCAACCTTATATCCAGTCAATTATAAGTCCAACTGATTTTTCATTTGAGGTGCATATTACCTATTCATTTGCCTTCACTTCTACTTCTATAGCTTCTATCCACACTTTAATTACAAGTGTCTTAAACAAATCATCCCTCCCCCCATGCTCATGACCCTGTTATACATATCACATTTAAGACAAAATTATTCTATAAGATTTTTATTCTCCTCTGGGCACAGCTTACACTGTATTCTATGGAGCAATACCCCAGGGATTATCATTCCACACAGAATGCAACATGAATGGTCATTGGATTTGTAAAAGCCAACAACCCTGTGGTCATTTTCCATAAACCAGGTGCCCTGCTAAATTTATCTTCATAACAATCTTATATGGTATTATCATCATCCCTGCTTTACAAATGAGAAAACTGAAGTTAAGAGAGGTTAATTGGCCCATGTTAGTAAAAAACAAGATCTGGATTCAAAACCATCGGCAAGCATCCTCCCTGCTTGTGCTACTCTCCCATCTTTAAGATTCCTTCACTATTACTCTTTAAATCTTGTCTCCTTTCAAAGCTCAAGAGCATTTCTCTCTAAAGCATTTCTTATACACTCTAACCAGTACAGCTCTTTTTCTGAATGCCCATATCCCAGTAGTCTAAACAATATTAAGAAGAAACAAATACTGCTTCACCTCAGTTTTTCAGTATATGTGCTGTGATTCCAAATCTCTTCAGTTAAAAGAAGTCATCTATTTTTGTGTCTCCTCTAATTCTTAACATTGGACTTGCCATATATTACTACATAGCTTAATATTTGCTGATCGACTCCACAAATGACCTTGTAGAAAAGTTATAGGGGAAAAAATCTCAGCATTTTTTCTTCTTCTTCTCTTGTCTACTCTGTCTGCCTCCTTAAGTCAAGGCCTTTGTCAGTTTTATTTTGTTTTTTAAAATGTGTTTCTATTGACTTTAGAGAGAGGAGGGGGGAGGGAAGGAGAAAAATATTGATGTGAAAAATATCAATCTGTTGCCTCCTGCACACACCCTGACCGGTATCAAACCCACAACCGAGGTCATATGCCCTGATTGTGAATTGAACTGACAACCCTGTGGTGCATGGGATGACGCTCAACCAACTGAGCCACCTGGGCCAGGGCACCAGCTTTAAAAGTGCCTGTGTCTCCTAAACCATGCACTACAGGACAAGGGCCTCAGTTATCTGGATGTTAGGGTGGTACTGGCATTTGGCATCTCCTTCTGTGCCACCACGCTGTCTTGGAGGGCTGTCTGGACTGTCCTAGCTCTCCTGCATGCTTTGCCAGTGGTTCTGGCTGCCTAGGCCCCCTTATTCTCTCATTTTCTGTACCTTCAGGGTTTTTTTTAATTTGTTTTGTTTTTTTAAATAACTTACTTGCCAAAACCGGTTTGGCTCAGTGGATAGAGCATCGGTCTGCGGACTGAAAGGTCCCAGGTTCGATTCTGGTTAAGGGCATGTACCTGGTTGCAGGTACATCCCCAGTGGGGGCTGTGCAGGAGGCAGCTGATGAATGTTTCTCTCTCATTGATTTTTCTAGCTCTCTATCCCTCTCCTTTCATCTCTGTAAAAAAAAAAAAAAAAAAAAATACATTAAAAAAAAAAAAAAAAAAAAAGTCCCTGTGTCAGCCCTAGCCGGTTTTGCTTAGTGGATAGAGCTTTGGTCTGTGGACTGAAGTGTCATGGGTTCAATTCCAGTCAAGGGCACATATCTTGGTTGTAGACTCAATCCCTGGACACAGTCAAGTGTGGAAAGCAACCAATTGATTTGTCTCTCTCATATCGATGTTCCTCTCTCTATGTCTCTCCCCCTTCCTTCCATACTCTAAAAATATTCAATGGAAAATATATCCTCGGATGAGGATTAACAACAAAAAAGTCTCTTCTGTCATTTTTTAAAGAAGTAATTTGCTATTATACAAATTACCATAAACCGTGCATTACTCTTGACTCAATAATTCTACTTAGAAATATAGCCTAGAAATATAATGCAAATAAAAAGGAGGGTTAAAAAAGTAGACAAGATGATAGAGTGCTACTGTAATAAAAAAATAAAAACCTAGATATTCAGTAGCCTGTTTCAACCTTTAATTATATAGGCCAAAATAACATAGGAAGAGTGCTTATGAGAAATATCAAGTAAAAAGAGCTTAAAAAAACACACTATCTCTGTAATTATGATAACCATAAAAATAACAAATGTGAATCCAAAAGGCAAAAAAAAAACACACAACACCCAGTATCATTTGCTACAGTGGTGGAATTATAAATAGAATAAAATACTCCAGCTTCTGAGAAATGTGGGATAACTAGTACTTTATAAAAAATACCAAACCCTAAGACTATGTGCTATTTTAAGTAGAATAACACTTTCAAAATTTGGTTTTTGTAAAGTGCTCACAACAAAAAAAAGTAATAGTAAACCTTTAAACCTGTAAACATAATAAAATCTAGTAAATAATGTTAAATTAAGAATTGGAAGAGAGAAACATGCAAATAATCATATATTAGATAAGCTATTTTCTAGAAAAAGGAAAACGTGCAATTTGAATCTTTAAATATATTTTTATCAAGCAAAAGTAACCAAAATGGAAAAGGGCACATAATTTAACATGGAAAACACAATATGTATAAGTTTTATACAACAGACCTCTTCCAAAGTCAAAGCAGGTAGAGTCTGCAAGAATGTTGCTCTGGTGTTAGGTTGCCCTGCACACCCTGACAACGAACAGAGAACTGACCCCTCTTGAGTGGCTTCTAATTTTACTCCAAAATCATATTTTCATATTACCTTACCCTTGCTAATAGTCCAGATTCCGCACCACACTGCTCTTCTGGGACTGCCATTGGCTTACTCTGCTCAGCTGCAAAGGGCTGGTCGGCTCCATTTTTATAGTGGTTTGATAAAGGTATCTTTGGTTCTAACCACTCGATTGTCGTTCCTGATGAAGCAAGAGAAAACTTTCCCTGAAACTTGCTCATAATCTGGAAAGTTCAGCAGATGTAGATTTTATTAAACAATTTTGTTTTGAGCCTACAAGACTAAAAGCAATTCAACCTGTTAAGAGACTGCCAAGACAGCCATAGGTAGCTCATTAGCATGCGCACCATGATTGGTGTTTTACAAAAGAGTAATTTGCAACTTGAAAACAGATATCACCTTTTAAAAGAATCAACCCTGAACAGGACTGAACTCACTTCTTGGGCAAATCTGTGAATCACAAAGCACATTCTCATCCTACCAGTTGACTTGTCCTTTCCGTATGAACCCTGCCCTTCTAGTAATCAAAAAGTGTGCAAATTAGGCTTTAATGAGTCACAATTATAGCAGGAGCCTGAGACTGTGAAACAGTTAAATTTGCTTCAATTGGGATGAATTTTATTCTCAGTAGCAATTCTCTAACCAAGCAATATAGCCCCCTTGATCTAAGTTAAGGATTGTAAATACATATCCATTCTTTTTTTCAGTCATATAAAAAAAGCTCCATATACTTTTAAATTGAAAGCCTCTTCTACTGAATAAATAATAGCTGACCCAGTGAAAGACAGTAGTCACATTTACAGACCTGTCATCTTCTCAATTAATGACTTAAATGTCTCTTATTACCCTTAACTAGTTTAACAAAGTGGATTCTATGCCTAATCAATAATGGAAAATGTTCCATTTGATTTCAGAGACTGATCTAGGTTTCACAGAAGCTTGGCTATAGAGTGCTACAATAAGGGATGCTCAGTCTACCAAGCAGAAATTTTAAACATTGTGGAGTTTACTCAAGCTATGACAAAACCCCAGACTTCTGCAGAGAAGTAAATTACCCAGTTATCAGGATACCAGAGCATTTTGCCCAGCCATGCGTTGTTTCACTTGGCAATTAGGGAAAGCCATGACTGGGGCGATGCCCTGGGTAAGTTCATGGAGCCTCTTTCAAAATTCCAAAGAAAACACGTTCTCCCTATTTTAAAATGACTATTTTTAATGTATTTATCTAAATGTCTTTACTTCTAAAAATAAAAGGCACACAAACAATAAATTTAACAGATCTATTTTAAGAGATTGTTCAACTGATTAAAATCTTAACAAAATTTATTGCCCAGGTGGTGTGGCTCACTGGTTGAGCATCTACCTATGAACCAAAGGGTGTCCTGGTTCCATTCCAGTTAGAGCACATGCCCAGGTTGCGAGCTCAATCCCCAGTGTGGGGCATGCAGGAGGCAGCTGATCAATGATGCTCTTTCATCATCGATGTTTCTCTCTTTCTCTCCCTCTTTGAAATCAATAAAAATATATTAAAAAAAAAAAAGATCGCATGAGACTAAACACTAACTGGAAATAAGATTTAATTTCTTGTGTCATAATAACACTTAAATGGGAAGATAATTCAGTTTTTCCAGTTATAACTTTCATTTTCAAATGACTAGAGGTTATATTTCTACAGACCTAAAAGTTTACAATGTTTCACTTTTTTCATTAAAAAGGTAATTTATAATGTACATGCTTCATTAATCATAAAGCAATCATTTAAAAAAAAGACTGTATTCATTTAAGCTACACAAATGAAATTTCTAAGAATTTAAAAAACTATATAGATTTAATTAATTAATCAAGTATTTGTTAAGCATCTAGTATCTAGCATTTTACTCCTTGTTGTACTTAAAAAAATTAAGTAGCATAAACTGGAAACATTGTTTCATTTAACTGACAAAATTATTCCCAAACCAGAGTTAACCCAAATTTCATAACTCAGGGTAATACATCCATTGTTTAACATAGGGGAATAGTTAAGTAAACTAAATTACCTCTATCCCCTCAAAAGAATATAATAAAGTCATTAAAATTTACGTTTACCAAAAGCATATCACATATTGAGAAATTTAAAATACAAACACATATTTTCTAATAATGGAATGAAACAAACAAAAACTAAAAAGAAAAATAGGGAAAAAAACGGTGGGGAGTATACTAATACATTAACACTGTCAGTTTCTGGTTGATAAAACAATGCATAATTTTGTTTCATCTTTCAATTGTATAGCAGCTTATAAGTTCTTTATAATATGTGTGTGTGTGCTCTATAATAGAAGAAAATTTATATCGGACTTGTTAGAATTCCAAGGTAACAGTTCATGTTCATAACTCACAATTTAGGATTTTCTGTCACTTTGGAATGCTGTCTCCCTTATCCCTCCCATCTCTATGCTAATTGGTTTTTGTAGCATTTCTGTGTTTTCCTCAGACCTTTTGATAGTACTTTGTTCCCATTTAAGTTGCTCTTTAAACATATAGTACACATATTTACATGTTGTCTCAAGTACACTATTAGTTCCTTAAGGGTACTATACATACCTTATAGGCCTCTATAATACTGCCCGGATCTATACCTACAATTGACATTAAAAATAGCTTGTAGCTTCAAATATTGAACTTAGGCAGATGGAGGATGGGATCCATACCTGAATATGGTAAACTTTCCTGAGCAGGGACTCAGTATCTTTCTAAAATATCTTTCTTTCACAAGTAAGGGGAGTAAGCTGAATATTTATTCAGAGAACAGTGAGTTGTTATGAAATATTAAGTTACTACTATTAATAAAATCTGATGGGATAGGGGATTACAGAGATGTTGTTAAAGGTACAAACCCAAAACTAGAAGATGAACAAGTTCCACAGATTTAATGTACGGCATACTAATTATGGTCAATAATACTGTATTATATATGTCTAAGATCCTAAATTTTCTCACTACAAAAAGAAATGAGAATTATGTGCACAACTGAGGTGTTATCTAATGGTGTGGTGCAGTGGTTCCCAATGTTGGACATATTTCCTACAAAGGGGCAATTTGATATTCAAGGAGGGCAATTTGAGAATGAGTTAACAGGGAATTTTTTGCATTTCTTATGATTCTAGGGGCCTCAATTACAGTATATAAATATATATTGTGACATACTTTAAGCATTTCAGTCCTCTATTATGTTTTGAAACTTTGCTATTTTTAAAAAAATATATTTTATTGATTTTTCACAGAGAAGAAGAGAGAAGGATAGAGAGTTAGAAACATCGATGACAGAGAATCATTGATTAGCTGCCTCTTGCACACTCCCTACTGGGGATGTGCCCGCAACCAAGGTACATGCCCTTGCCCGGAATCGAACCCGGCTATTTGCTATTTTTTTCATATTACTTCATATTATTATTTTTTAAACTCTTTCTTAGTGACTTCTTTCTCAATACTTCAACTGTCCTTTGGTTCTTTTATTTTCCTCTTTCATGGATGCCATGTTCTTTGTAAGCTTGTTTAAACCAGGTTAATGGCCTTTTAGGCTTCCTCCCTGGGAATAGGAGTTCCCTTTTGGAATAATAAGAATTGTATGTCATAGGAGGGACATCAGGATTTCAGAGGTGTTTAGGTGGCCAAAAAAAGGTTGGGAACCACTGATTTGGTGGTAAGCATATATATGTACCTATAGGTTGCAATATTTACGTAACAAATCAACATGTATACCTTAAACTCACATAATGTTTCATATCAATTATATCTCAATAAAAAGAGTTCATTCATCTCATTTAATAGAAAAATTAATTTTTTGTTCTCTCATGAAATAACATTCTTTTCTAGTAAATGAATTTCAACAAATAGGTGCTCTCAAATACTAAATGTATACCTTATTTTTCAAACTAAAAGGCAAATTAAAGATTTAATATATATCTCAATATGGAAACAATGAATAGTGGACTGAACTCAAACTCAATAAACAATTCCAGTGTTTGTACTTTGGTCAACTGGATGAATAGTAATATCACACTACAAATAGTAATTTGTGTATTTTAACACAAATACAAGATATGTGGGTTTTTAGTTCAGTTTTTAAAAAAAATATATATTTTATTGATTTTTTACAGAGAGAAAAGGAGAGAGATAGAGAGCCAGAAACGTCGATGAGAGAGAAACATCGACCAGCTGCCTCCTGCACACCCCCCACTGGGGATGTGCCCGCAACCAATGCACATGCCCCTGACCGGAATCAAACCTGGGACCCCCCAGTCCACAGACTGACGCTCTACCACTGAGCCAAACTGGTTTCAGCATTAGTTCAGTTTTTGAAATGCTGAGTTTGAGGTCTCTAAAGAGATATTAAATGATATTAGACATTAAACCCCAAATCACTTTAGATCGAAAAAAGGGCACAATAAAAGACTTTCTATAACAGAGTGATCATTAAAAGAAGCTCATTGGCCGAAACCGGTTTGGCTTAGTGGATAGAGTGTCAGTCTGCGGACTGAAGGCTCCTGGGTTCGATTCCGGTCAAGGGCATGTACCTTGGTTGTGGGCACATCCCCAGTAGGGGGTGTGCAAGAGGCACCTGATCGATGACTCTCATCAATGTTTCTAACTCTCTCTCTCTTTCCCTTCCTCTCCGTAAAAACAATCAATAATATATATATATATATATATATATATATATATATATATATATTTTTTTTTTTTTTTAAAGAAGCTCATTAGTTCTCTATTTTTTGTTTTTAATTAAGATTTTCTGAAGTTAGAATTACAACAAACACAGTCCTTTCCAGGTTTTGGACCTTACTGTTAAGTCCTGCCTTTAATCTATAACTTACCTGGAGGCAATGAGCCCTTCTGCTGCGACGCATGCTGCAACTGGAGAATATGAAAGCAGTCATTTAAGCAGTTCATAGTTGCCATGGAAGTAGCTTTGAGCATTAAGAGGTCCTGGTCCAAGGAACTAAGATGGCCAGAAGCAGGAAGGCATTCAATTCGTCTAATCAGGTCTCTTTGTTGTCCTTCAGCGTGAGACATCATCTAAGGAAAACAACAGTTCTGTGAGTCCCACTCATGATTTCTGTAAATACTATAATACAGTTGCCATTTTAATGACAATATTCAGCTTTCTAGCCACTTTTAGGATATATTAAACTTAGAAATCTATTTTAAGTTTGTTTGGCTAGTCTCAATTTATGAGCATTTAATAATGCTTATCAACTGAGCAAAAGATGGTAACCTTTGGCCTGGCTGGCCTGGCTCAGTGGTTGAGCGTCAACCTATGAATTCAGTGGTTGATTGTCAACCTATGAACCAGATGGTCATGGTTTGATTTCAGTCAAGGCACATGCCTGGGTTGCAGGCTTGATCCTCAGTATCAGGTGTGCAGGAGGCAGCCGACCAATGATTCTCTCTCATGATGGATGTTTCTATATCTCTCTCCCTCTCCCTTCCTCTCTGAAATCAATAAAAAATGTATTTTTTAAAAAGATGGTGACCTTTGGTAGCCATATATATATTACAAACAGGGGGTGGCAAGAGTAGGTTTAGCATGCCAAGCCAAGAAATTGATAACAAAAAATTCTGTCCCAAAGTAAGTATAGCAAGCAGACTACAAGAATGTGTAAATAATGAAGGCCAGCAATTTGAGCATTTATAAGATTGTACTTAAGTGCACTGTGCCATTGTGACATTTTTTTTTACTTAATAAAGGGATTGAAATAGTCATAATCTGCATATCTTTTCCCATACAAACAACTGTAACGCTACCTTTGTCAACCTCCATTTATGTAGCCTATTCAGGTTTAACACTAAAGATCTGTAGAAAATAGTACCTGTTCTTTCTACATCCTGATCAAAATTCACCTCAAGGAGTTTCAAAGCAGCAGTTTAATTATCTCCAGACCCTGTGCTCAGACTCTCTGACACCTGGGGCATGCACGATAACCCAACCTTATCTTCCTTATCCACCCCTTCCATTTGACATAAAACTATTAGTCACTGAATGTACACAACCTAACTGAAACTTCTAAAGCATCACATGTGCTTTTCACTTAGTCCTCTGCCTGTATAAGTACCCCTCACTTTCCCAAAGTTAGAGCACTGTTTTAAGGTTTCCTGAAGGTCTGCTCTCAGACCATAGTCCTCAGATAAACCCAAATAAAATTATTTCTAAAATTTTCAGATTCAGCTTCTTTTTGTTGACACTGTCCACTTTTTCTAATAGAGCCAATGGAAGAGCAGTGATAGATAAGTAAGCCAATTTAAAAAAATAAAACAGAATTTACTATGCTTACTTTATTGTGATCAGAAGGTTCTTTGATTATCCATCCTTTAAACACTATTTTAATTCACATAAAAATTTTATAATGGAGAGATTCTTTTTACTTTCAGAGGCTAGCTGCTCCAAATAATTATTTGTTTGTTTATTTAAAAAATATATTTATTGATTTTTTACAGAGAGGAAGAGAGAGGGATGGAGTTAGAAACATTGATGAGAGAGAAACATCAACCAGCTGTCTCTTGCACACCTCCCACTGGGGATGTGCCCACAACCAAGGTACATGCCTTCAACCAGAATCGAACCTGGGACCTTTCAGTCCACAGGCCAACGCTCTATCCACTGAGCCAAACCGGTCTCGGCAATTTTTTATTTTATTTTATTTTAAAATATATATATATGTTTTATTGATTTTTTACAGAGAGGAAAAGAGAGTGACAGAGAGTTAGAAACATCGATGAAAGAGAATCATGGATCAGCTGCCTCTTGCACACCCCTTACTGGGGATGTGCCCGCAACCAAGGTACATGCCCTTGACCAGAATCGAACCTGGGACCCTTCAGTCCGCAGGCTGACGCTCTATCTGCTGAGCCAAACCTGTTTCGGCAATTTTTTAAAATATGTTTTTATTGATTTCAGGAAGAGGAAGGGGAAGGAAGAGAGAAAGATAGGAACATCAATGAGAGAGACTCATTGATTGGCTGCCTCCTGCACACCTTCTACTGGGAGAGTGAGCCCTGACCAGGAATTGAATCATCAGGGACGCTTAACCGCTGAACACTCCTGGTTCATGGAACAACACTCAACCACTGAATAACACCGACAGGACTCCAGATAATTTTTTTTTTAATCGTTACCTGAGGATATTTTTCCATTGATTTTTAGAGAGAGGGAAAGACAGAGAGAAATATCAATGTGAGAGAAACACAACAATTGCTTGCCTTTTGAATGAACCCTGAGCAGGACCCGGGCCAGGGAGGAGCCTGAAACAGAGGTATGTGCCCTTGACCAGAATTGAACCTGGGACCCTTCAGGCCACAGGCGAACTCTATTCACTGAGCCAAACAGGCTAAGACCAGATAATTTTATAATTTTTAATCTAGTACATCAGAGGGCTAGTGAAAGAGACGTAAATTATCCTACCAAGCAAATCAAGTGTGTCACACATAAAATAGTCCCTGAAATCATATGTTGTAATACTGGATAAAACTTATATATATATTTTTTTATTTTTTATTTATTTATTTATTTTTTTTATTTTAGAGAGGAAGGGAGAGGGATAGTCAGAAACATCAATGATGGGAGAGAATCATTGATCGGCTGCTTCCTGCACGCCCCCTACTGGGGATCAAACCTGCAACTGGGCATGTGCTCTTCACTGGAATTGAACCTGAGACACTTCAGTCTATAGGCTGATGCTCTATCCACTGAGCCAAACTAGCTAAAGTACCGGTAAACTTTTTTTTAATGGAAGCTTACCAGGAAAAAAAAAAAAAAGCTCACCCTTAACAGAAAAAAAAAAGTTTTTAATGAAAGCATCTATGCATATGCATATATATGGGTGCTTTGTGTGTGTATAATTGTATTTGTATATAAACTATGGCACTAACTTTCAATAATCCAACCTTATGAATTAATTACAATCACTTGGAAAACAACTGGCAATATCTACTAGAGTTAATAGAGTTAAATAAATGCAATCCATTATTGAATAATTATACCGTTAGATATACATATATATATTCATCAACTCAAGTTTCCATCAACACTGGAATAGATAAATAAAATTAAAATATACATTAAATACTGTACATTTGCCGAAACCGGTTTGGCTCAGTGGATAGAGCGTTGGCCTGTGGACTGAAAGGTCCTGGGTTTGATTCCGGTCAAGGGCATGTACCTTGGTTGTGGGCACATCCCCAGTAGGAGGTGTGCAGGAGGCAGCTGATAGATGTTTCTCTCTCATCAATGTTTCTAACTCTATCCCTCTCCCTTCCTCTCTGTAAAAAAATCAATAAAATATATATTTTTTTTAAAAAGAAAAGAAGCCATACCCAAAGGAATACACACTATTTAATTCCTGTTTTAAAAATTTCAAAAATAGGTAAAATAAATCATGGTGTTAGAAGGAAGGGTATAGTGATAGAGAGGTATAAAAGGATCTTCTAAGGTGCTAGTAATATGTTTTTTTAAATGGAACCTTAAATTGCAGTTTTTCTTTTTAAATATGTTTTTATTGACATTTTTAGAGAGAGAGGAAGGAGAGGGATAGAGAGATAGAAACATTGATGAGAAAAGAACATCATCAATCGGCAGCCTCCTGTATGTCCCCTACTGGGGATTGAGCCTGCAACCCACTGCCCTGATTGAAAACTGAACCAGCTACTTCTAGCATCGACGCTTAATCGCTGAGTCACACCAGCCGGGCAATATTTCATTTCTTAATCCAGAATGTGATTACATGCAAATTACATCAAAATGTACACTCTGCCCTTGCTAGTTTGGTTCACTGGATAGAACATTGGCCTGTGGACTGTGTCGCTCTCACTTGTGTCTCTCTCACTTTGATGTTTATCTCTCTCTCTCTCCTCCCTCCCTTCCACTCTCTCTAAACAAATCAATGGAAAAACACCCTCGGGTAAGGATAAATAAATAAACAAACAAGCAAACAAACAAACAAACAAATAAATAAAGGAGTCACTTGTTTGGCCATATAGTCTTCCCACTAGACTTAAAATTTTTTTAAATAAAATATATTTTATTGATTTTTTACAGAGAGGAAGAGAGAGAGTTCGAGATCTAAAAACACATTGATCAGCTGCCTCTTGCACGCCCCCTACCAGGGATGTGCCCGCAACCAACGTACATGCCCTTGACTGGAATCGAACCTGGGACCTTTCAGTCCGCAAACCGACACTCTACCGCTGAGCCAAACCAGTTTCAGTGCTAGACTTAAATTTTACATTAAAGGAGTATGTACCTTTACTTGAGAAATAACAAATACAGAAATAACAAATGAGAGTTTGCTATTACATAGTTGACAGACTTGAGAAAACTTTGGATACTATATATAATCAGGAAATAATTTGTTTTTTTAAAAAATTGCAATCACAATCCACATTCAATATCATTCTGTACCAGTTTCAGGCAGATAGCATGATGGCCAGACAAAGTTGGACAGCCCTCATATTTCAAGCACCTACTCAGCCCCACATATAGCATCATACCATTGCTGACTATATGCCCCATGCTGCAATCCACATTCTGGGGCTATTCTGTAACTATCAATTTGTACTTCTTAATCCCTTCCATTTTCCTCCCAGTCCCCCAACTGGGAATCATTAAGACTTAAAAATTATCTAAGCATACTAGATGGGAAACACCGAAGGCCCCAGAAGACCCAAACAGAATTTTTAAAAATTTTATTGATAAAACCAAGTAAGAAAGATTATTTTGTGCATTTTAACTTGACTTCAATTCATACTTACTTCTCTGACTTCTACAAGATGGTCTGGAGGTAAGTGAGGTCTTTTGCTCATTGATTGTAGTTTGGAATGTCCAACATTAAAAAAAGAAATGGCATTTTGACTTGGCCTCCTCTGGGAATTAGGAGAATTACCACTAGACGCAAGCGAGAAGCTCCGTGATTTCAGAGGAGGGTTATTCTATTAGACAAACAAAGAAAATCATTCCTTTTAAAAACAATGTATGCTCTTACTCCTGAACCTATGAGTTTTAAAAATTAATCTCAGAATTGACTATAAGAACATTTCTGAAACTGACAAATTTTAAGGCACACAAAGTATAAGCATTTCACATACCCATAAATTAATGTATTTAGAAACTTAATTCCTGGTGTGCTATCAAGAATACTTTTTCACATTTTATAAAGATTAGAATAATAACTTTCTAATTTCAGATTTTTAAACATCATGATTGAAGCAAAAATATACTTAGCAATATTTAACATAAATTTTCTTAATGTAACATGCTAGTATCTTTGGAACAAACTGGTGCTTTCTGATCACAGCCAATGATTGTAATCTTGCAGTATAAGTAAATCAGTAGGCCTAAATCACAAACAACTTTTTAAAACTCACTTATGGGTAAAAAACACTAGAGGGGAAAAATTTTTTAATTCCAACTTTCACCTAGGTATAGAATCCTTTATTCTTCCCAGATACTAGTTTTTAGATATCTCTAAACTCAGATGTCAAGTACTGAGACTCTTCTTTTCAACTTAAAAAAACACACTCAAAAACCTCCAAAGATTTACAAATGACCAATAAACATATGAGAAGACTTTCAACATTAGTCATTAGGAAATGAAATAAAAACTATACTGACATCCCATTTCATGTCCACTAGGATGGCTATTAAGAAAAAAAACAACCACCCAGATTACAATAACAAACATTTCCGAGAATGTGAAAAACTGAAGCCCTCATACATTGCTGGTAGGAATGTGAAATGGCTCAGCTGCTTTGGAAAGCAGTTTGGCAATTCCTCAAAAAAATTAACAGCCCTAGCAGGTTTTGCTCGGTGGATAGAGCATCGGCCTGTGAACTGAAAGGTCCCAGGTTTGACTCCGGTCAAGGGCACATGCTCGGGTTGTGGGCTCGATTCCTAGTGGGGGACTTGTAGGCGGCAGCTGATTCATGATTCATGGATGTTTCTATCTCTCTCTCCCTCTTCCTTCCTCTCTGAAATTAATAAAAATATATTTAAAAAAATTAAATAGAGAACTACCACATGACCCAATAATCCCACTCTTAAATATATACCCTAAGAACCGAGATCATGTGTGCACCCAAACTTAAACACAAATATTCACTATACTATTATTGATAATAGTCACAAACAGGAAATCCAAATGTCCATCAACTGATGGATGACTAAATAAAACATGATATCCATACAATGGAATATTGTCCACCCATTAAAAAGGAATAAAATAAGATGCATGCAGTAACACAGATGAACCTTGAGAACATCATGCTGAGTGTAAAAAGCCAGATATCCACAGAAAAGCCACATATTGCATGGTTCCATTTATATAAATACCCAGAATAGAAAATCATAGAAATAAAAAATAAATTCAAGTTTTCCAGTAGCTAGGAAAGGTGAGAATAGCAAGTGACTGCTAATGGATATAGGTTTTTTGGAGGATGATGAAAATGTTCCAGAATTAGTTGAAATGATAGCACAATCCTGCAGCTATACAGTGGAACCTTGGTTCCTGAACTTAATTTGTTCTGGAAAACTGTTTCAGAAGTGATTTATTCAAAACGCGAAACAATTTTTCCCATTAGAAATAATGTAAATTGAATTAATTCATTCCAGACCCCCAAATGATTCCCTGTTTTAACCTTTCTTACAAAATACTGAAATACTATATACCCTGTTTCCCCGACAATAAGACAGTGTCTTATATTAATTTTTTTCTCCCAAAGTTGTGCTAGGTCTTATTTTCAGGGGATGTCTTATCTTTCCATGCACTAGGTCTTATTTTCGGAGGATGTCTTATTTTTGGGGAAACACAGTAGTACATGTTTAAGGTGCTGCTTAATCTATAAACAAACACTTCTTTTCTTAAAAACAACCCCCTATATAACCTTATTACTTATATACTTTATTAAACAACCTCCTACTATAACCTTAAATCAAGCATGTCAGACTTTCAGCCCATGCTTGCCTTAAATGAATCACTTTCAGCATTCATGCTGTATCTTTCACTGTCTCCGAAATGCTGTCACTGGCTAGCTGCTTTTTGTATATCCAAGTCAAGAGGTATATTCTACCTCTTCAATTGCCTGTGATCATTGTTGTTGTTTTTCCACAACTAAGGCAAAATTAGCACTTGATGGCCACTTTATGTTCTAAAATTGTGCTAACTGTCCATTTTGCTAGCAACAAAAGAAAAAAAAACAACAACCAAGAAATATTCACATCAGGATTTCCTGAGATATTCAATACCCAAGACTTAGCAGTAAACTAACTTATATTCTCTCCTTTGTTTGTGGCCTGAGAGATGCCTTTTGTTTATGCTGATGAATCAGCAAAAAAGGACTGATAGGATCCAGAACTGAAATTTTGTGCATAGACTGAAACCCTTTTTCCACGAACTTGGTCAAGAACCAAACTGTTAAGAGACTGGAGACATCCGGGAGCTGAGTTGTGACTGTACTAAAATACCATGAATTACACACAGGAGTTTGTGCATAGCATCTCAATTTTAAAAAAATGTAAAAAGAAATTTAAAAAAATTATTTCCCCATTTCTATGCATTAATATTGTACATGAATCCACATACCTTGCCAATAGCTTCAGTGTGATGTTGTGTACATATCTGAAGTCTGCTAACCCAATGCTGTCGCTCTTTAGCATCTGTGGCTGATAAAAACAATCTATGAGTTACTCACTTTTATAATTCTTTTTGGAATACAATTGTTTATAGCAGGAAGAAAAGATCACTGAAAACCATGGACTGGTACTACTCTCCCTAGAGCAAATGTCCCTGACTGCAGGGATGTAAAAAAGAGACCCAAGCATCAATCTTGTTAGGTAGCACAGTAGCTGGATGTGGCTATTTAATAAGGAGGATAAATTACATGCAGCTAGATGGGGATATGACACTTGAGATTTAAGTTTCTCATGAAAATATGCTCTTATTTAGCCCTAGCCGGTTCTGCTCAGTGGACAGAGCAATGGCCTGTGGACCAAAGGGTCCCAGATTCGATTCTGGTCAAAAGCATGTACCTTGGTTGCAACTCCTCCCTGGCCTGGGCCCTGGTCAGGGCTCATGCAGGAGGCAACCAATTGATGTATTTCTCTCACATCGATGTTTCTCCCTCTTCCACTCTCCCTAAAAAACATCAATGGAAAAATATCCTCCGGTGACAAAAAAAAAACACACACAACAAAACTTTATTAAGCATTTAATGTGTACTCAATACTTTCAGATCTTATGGCGCATGCTCAGCTAAGATTAACATTATACTTTATGTATATTAATTAGATAAAAATCACAAACTTCTACATAAATTAAATTTATCTAAACAAATATAACTATTTTATTTTAATGAGAATGAACATATTAATAAATGTCCTTTACTTCCTGAAAACCACAAAATACAAATCAAATCAAGAAAAGTGATAGACTACTAACCAATGGCAGACATTTAAAAATATCATTTAAAGAAGCCTATATTTTTAGATTTTTTAGTAATTAGGGTTTCATCTCCACAAATATTTTAGAGGGGTCAATCTTAAACAGCTTGTTCATTGTCCCATCTAAAAAAATTATTTATTAAGACAGATTTCATAAATTCTTAAAGCAATTCCAAGGTTTAGGATATTGTATCTACATCATCAATAACAGTAGTTCTATTTCTAAAACCCAAATGAAAGCAGAGAAGTATACCAACTTCTCCAGGGAAAAAGACGATCACACTATTAATTCTCGCATCTCAATCATACCTCTGAGTTTATACTGTTCCCCACTGGCAGCATTTACAGTGAAGGTGTGAGAGTCTTCATCGCTGGGTGATATTACAGCTCCTGCAAGCTGCAGAGTACCTCTGGGCTTTTGATTTTTAGACTGTTCATTCACAAAGTATTCCAATAACCCAGCTTCATTGTTTAAAACAAAAAATCTGTAATGAATTTAAAAAGAAAAGGTCATATTTTTAAACATTTTTCTTAGTCAAACTAAAGCAAACCAAGGTTTTGTTTTTGTTTTTTAAATTAATTTTGAGAGAGAGAGAGAGAGAGAAAGACATCAATGTGAGAGTGAACATCAATCGGCTGCCCGCTACTAGGCGTACAGCCTGCAGCACAGGCATGTGGCCTCACCTGGAATAGAACCAGCAACCTTTCTGTGCACAGGATGCCATTCAGCTAACAGCCTCAGCAGCCAGGGCAAGCAAAACAAGTTTTAACCACTTACACACTGTGGAATTTTTGCCATTAAAAAAACTAAAATTCAAAGTATTTCAAGAAGTACTTGTAAACACTAGGTTATATTTCCTAGCAGTGAAGATTATTGACAAATTGAATAAGTTTTATAAAAGATATAAAACAGCCAGCTGAGAGAGGCATTTAATAGGAAAGAAGCATATCCGATACTACAAAAAGGAAACAAAGACATAGTATCCTTTCAGAGGAAGATTTCTCTCCAGAATTCATTAACAGGAAAGGTAAACTGCCCAAGGACAAATGGGAATGAGAATTTTTATTTAAAATTCATTGCAAAAAAAAATCAAAACATGAGTTTTGAGGTTAATTCAATGCTAGGTAAGAAATAAATCTAAGTTAAAATTTAATCAATAAAATATACAATGAGAATAATGTCAGGGTAGAAAGATTTTGTGAATGTATCATTAAATAGGTCACAACTAAAGATTACTTATCCTGTTTAAAAATGAAAAAGCTGCAACTGGAGATGCAGAAACATAAGAAACTTGAAACTAAATGATGAAATACTGATACACTTTGGAAAAGAAATTGATGTTCTGATTTGCTTCTAGATTAAATGCTTTTGGAAATATATTAATTCAGATTTCAATTTAATGAATATAATAGCTATCTTTTTAAAAAAATATAAAAAGTTCCAATTTCAAAAAATTAACCTTTGAACTTGGAGCAGTTTGGCATTCTACATGTTATTGTGCTCTATAACAGTAAACAATTTGACCCAGATCAAGGTCCTAGAAGATATTATCTTAAGCAATGCGGCAACCATTTCAAACTGGGAGAGAATGGAATCAGCCTTTTATTCAGGAAAAGGAAGAAAAAACAACAATAAAAGAAGTAAGCAAAAGGAGCTGAAAGTAGTTGCTGAGAAGGGAGATGGAAAAGCAAAAAACTATTGTTTTTCTTGTTCATCTTTAACATGCTTCTCATCTTTTAAATTATGTCAAAAAAATAAATTATGTTCACATATTTTGGTAAAAATATACATTAATTTTAATATTTCTGAAAGTTTTAAAACTTGCATATCATTAATTACAATAGGAATTAAACACCTTTTCATGTGTTTTATTGACCATTCATAGTTCTACTTATAGTGAACTGCCGGTCAAGTTTTGCCCATTTGGCCGAAACCGGTTTGGCTCAGTGGATAGAACGTTAGCCTGCGGACTGAAGGGTCCCGGGTTCGATTCTGGCCAGTGCCTTGGTTGTGGGCGCATCCCTAGTGGGAGATGTGCGGGAGACAGCTGATCAATGTTTCTAACTCTCTACCCCTCTCCCTTCCTCTCTGTAAAAAGATTAATAAAATATATTTTTTTTAAAAAAAGTTTTGCCCATTTGTAATAGCTTATTTTATTTCCCCAAAGATTTAAGGGATTATTTGTATTAACATAAGATGTTCACGGACACCATCTTAAATTCCTGAAACATAAGACCTGTCCTAAGTAAAATGTACATATGAATCTGCTATGGTCTGAGTGTGTCCCCCCAACCTTACCCCCCCATCCCCCCCGCGCCAAAATTTATAGGATGAAATCCTGACCTCTAACGTAACAGTATTAAGAGACTGGGCCTTGGGGAAGTGATTAGGTCATGAGGGCAGACCTTTATGAATGAGATTAGCAACATTATAAAAGAGATACAAAAGCACTCCCTTGTCTCTTTTCTGTCAGAGGGTCCTTACCCCACTATGCTGGCACCCAGATCTTGGAATTCCAAACTCCAAGAGAAATACATTTGTTATTTATAAGCTACCCACTCCGTGGTATTTTGTTATAGGAGCCCAAAGGGACAAAGACATGAAAGCAATCTATTCAATATACTGAAACCCATTAAGTTGTACATTTAAATGGGGAAATTGTACTGTATATGTACTATATCTTAACAAGGCTATTAATAGAATAAGTAAACAAAGAAGAACAGAAGGAAGGAAAGAAATGTCTTCCCACTGCTCTAAGCAATAAGTACAATTTATTTCAACAGGCAAAGAAAAATGGTTGGTCTCTTCTTCTAAAAGCAGTCAATTCAAAGAGTACAATATGTTTGAAAATGTAAAGTTTGTTATGAACACATATTTCTTATCCAAAAGCATTACCACTTTTTAACAACATGGGAGGCACTCACCTAGATACACAGAAAGTTATACTGAGAAGAGACTGAGCATGGAGATTCCAGTTAATACTGTTTTATATATTTTAAAGACACCATGACAGTAGGTCTTAAACGTTCTCATCACAACAAAAGAAAATGTAACTATGAATAGGGCAAACGTTAACTACACTTACTATGGTGATCATTTCCCAATACAAGCATACCCTCAGAGATATTAGGGTTTGGATCCATACTACCGCAATAAAGTGAATATTGCAATAAAGCAAATCACAAACTTTTTTGGTTTCCCAGTGCACATAAAAGTTGCGGTTATACTACACTGCAGTCTATTAAGTATGCAATAGCATTATGTCAAAAAATGTAAATACTGCTGAAACTGGTTTGGCTCAGTGGTAGAGCAACGGTCTGTGGACTGAGGGTCCCAGGTTCGATTCCGGTCAAGGGTATGTACCTGGGTTGCGGGCACATCCCCAGTGGGGGTGAGGGGAGGGTGTAAGAGGCAGCTGGTCGATGTTTCTCTCTCATCGACGTTTCTAGCTCTCTATCTCTCTCCCTTCCTCTCTGTAAAATAATCAATAAAATATATTTTTTTAAAAATATACTTAATTTAAAATACTTTATTTTAAAAAAATGATAACCATTTATGAAATTAACCAATAACTGATTATCTAGCACCAAGCTGATACTATGAACCCACTTGCAATAATAGAGCATGGGGGGCTATCTTTCATTACACATGGATTAATCCAAATATTCTCCCTTCATCCTTTCTATGGAGAGATATTCTACAAGATATAAAGATAGGGGATGAAGAGGCAATCTGCATAGTGAGGAAACTTAAAAAGCTATTTTTTTCCCAGAAGAGTACTAGACTCTTGATGGAGGCATTTTAATTTATTTTTATTTTATTTTTATTTTTTGTGCACCGTTCCTGGAGGTACTGCAATACCAGGTCGATGTGTGGAGTGGATGGAGCAAACTCCTATTCCATCTCTAATTTCAAAAATCCATTTAATATATTGTCCTTGGATAGAGGATGTATCAGATATTAAACTGATAAGAACAGATACTACACTTGATCTTAGCCAAAAGGCCGAGAAGCAATGATTGAGGCGTTTTTAGACAGTTGGCCTAACCAATTAGCTAAGGAAATATAAAACAAAGGCTAAGTGTGACGGAAATTTAAGATTCAAACTTTTTACAAATCTTCACCTGCAGAAAATTCACCTAAGTTGTTAAAAGAAAATACTGTTAAGATTGGCAATTAACACAAAAATAAACTCAAAATGGATACAGGACTTAAACATCAGACGGGAAACCATAAAAATACTAGAAGCAGCCACAGACGTATGCCAAAAGAACTTCTTCACTGATACTGCCCATAGGGCAATGGAAGCTAAAGAGAAAATAAACAAATGGGACTACATCAAAATAAAAAGCTTTTTTACAGCAAAAGAAACCATCAACAAAACAACAAGAAAGCCCACTGTGTGGGAGAACATATTTGCAAATGATACCACTGATAAAGGTTTAATCTCCAACATCTACAGACAGCTGATACAACTAAATAAAAGGAAGATGAATGATCCAATTAAGAAATGGGCAATGGACCTAAATAGAATATTTTCAAAAGAAGACAGCAGGAAGGCCAAAAGGCACATGAAAACATGGTCAAAGTCACTAATTGTCGGAGAGATGCAAATCAAAACAACAATGTGGTACCATCTCACACCTGTCAGAATGGCCAACATCAACAAATCAACAAACGATTGGCAATTAAGTAAATTGTTATTTTTCTGCAATTTCAAAATAACAAAGACTGCCAGTTTGGGGGAAATAACTAAACTTTAGCCCACAACTTATAGGAAGTATAATGAAAAGCAACTTTAACCCCAAATATTCTGACTCAGAAGTATATCTTACAATGACAAGAATAAACTTTAGTCAAGATTTTAGAAGGGAGGGTAACCATGTGCTTTGTTCCAACCATCCCAGGGCTTTAATGCTCAGTGCATGGACAGATTTCTAAGCGAAATGGAAAGCTATCTCATCTTCAGGAATTTCAGTGGAAGGTGGAAGAGGATCTTGTTGCAGTGCACTTTCCTAGAGCAATTATTACAGAGCAAGCAGTTATAAGTACGCCCATGCCAGATCTCTCCACACTGCTCTCAGTCAAGTTCTAAATTGCTCTGAGTTGCCCTTAGTTAAAATAACATGGACTGCAGGGAAACTGTCTTGAATATCTGACACAGATGCAGTGCTTTTATTAGAAGCTGCACATGTAGCACAAGGACAAAAGTGGCTAGAAATGCCGAAGAAACTGAGCTACCCTTAACATGGTCTTAACCTTCCTGTTCCTCTTTTATCCTTCAATCTACGTGTCCCATACTGAGGGCCTGGTATATCTCTGCTATTCCAGGGTGACTGGAAATGGAAGATGCAAAGTTTTCTAAAGTTGGCCTATAGCAGCCAAATTAATAAGGTGAGAGCTCTCTCTGATGGGAAAGTTGGTAATTGGTTCTGTGTTCTTAATCCACAAAGAGATATCCACACCATTAGAATGATTATTTAAAAAAAAAAAAAAGAAAAGAAAAGAAAAAGAAAAGAAAGAAAAGAAGTGTGTAAGTGAGGATATAGAGAAACTGGAACCCTTGTGCATTGCCGGTGGAAATGTAAAATGGTGTAGCCACTAGGGAAAATGGTGTGGAGATTCTCAGAAAAGTTAAATACAGAATTAGCATATGATCCAGCAATTCCATTTCTGGATATATACACAAAAGAAGTGAAATCCAGGGCTCAAATATTTGTACAGCAATATACATAGCGGCATTATTTACAACAGCCAAAAGATAAAAGCAACCCAAAACTCCACTGACAGATAAATAAGTAAATAAAATGTGGTATATACATGCAATGGAATATTAACAAGTGATTCTAATCCTTAGTTAATAGTAAATAAGTGATTCTAATTCTAAGATAATAGTAACTTCTGAGGCATTTGGAGGCTGTCATTTGGAAGATGTCAACTCCTCCAACCTCTAAAAAAGAGAAGAAAGCCATCAGACTTTTAGAAAACATGATGAACCCTTCCCTAAAAGGTTTCCCAGACATGTTTATACTTTAATAATAGCAGAATAAAATTACAGTCCCTAATTCTGGTCTCTGAGATTAGAATGAAGTGTCATAGAATAATCACACTTACCTGAACTGCCACCCAGTGACGAGGTTGGTGTACTTCATTAAGTAGCCGTATACGTTTTCCATGTGATCACTGTTTCAAAAAATCAGAGTGCCAAAGTCAGTGAAAATTACTAGAAATATCAGGAAGTTAACTGAATAGTTTAAAAACAGGATTGCAGTACACTGAGCTCCATTGAGACAGCGCCGGGGGAAGTGCGAGCGCCCGGGCACTGGGTGACTGTGCCCGCTGAGGAAAAGGAATTAACACGGGCAAAGGAGACCCTAAGAAGCCGAGAGCAAAATGTCATCGCATCCTTTCTTTGTGCAAAGCTGCCGGGAGGAACACAAGGAGAAGCACCGGATGCTTCAAACTTCTCAGTTTTCTAAGAAGTGCTCAGAGCGGTGGAAGCCATGTCTGCTGAGGAGAAAGGAAAATTTGAAGACATTGCAAAGGCAGACAAGGCCTGTTATGAGGGAGAAATGAAAAATTATATTCCTCCTAAAGGGGAAACAAAAAAGAAGTTCAAGGATTCCAATGCACCCAAGAGGCTGCCTTCGGCCTTTTTTCTTGTTTTGTTCTGAGTATCGCCCCCAAATCAGAGAGCATCCTGGCTACCCATGGGTGATGCTGCAAAGAAGCTGAGGGAGATGTGGAATCACACTGTTTCAGGTGACAAGTAGTCTTATGAAAAGGCTGCTGGGCTGAAGGAGAAACATAAAAAGAAGATTGCTGCACACCAAGCTAAAGGAGAGCCTGGTGCTGCCAAAAAGGGAGTTGTCAAAGCTGAAAAAGGAAGAAGAAGAAAAAGGAAAAAGATGGGGAAGATGAGGAGAAGGGAGAGGGGGAGAAAGAAGATAAAGAAGATGATGGCCGAAACCGGTTTGGCTCAGTGGTAGAGCGTCGGTCTGCGGACTGAAAGGTCCCGGGTTCAATTCCGGTCAAGGGCATGTACGTTGGTTGCGGGCACATCCCCAGTAAGGGGTGTGCAGGAGGCAGCTGGTCGATGTTTCTAGCTCTCTATCTCTCTCCTTTCCTCTCTGTAAAAAGTCAATAAAATGTATTAAAAAAAAAAAGAGAGAGAGAGAGAGAGAGAGAGAGAGAGAGAGAGAGAGAGAGAGAGAAGATGATGAAGATGATGGTGATAAATAAGTTGGTTCCAGTGCAGGTTTTTTTCCCTTATCTAAAAGCAATTAACCCCCTCAACTCACTCCTTTGATTTTTTTTTTGGGGGGGGGGGGAATTGAGTTTCTTTATTTCAAGTCACTAACATTAGGTATTTTGAAAGTTTTTGTATACTCTGTCAAAGTACAAATTACATCTTATAATACAATTGGTAAATACAGACAAACTATGTATTTAGTACAACCAACACATATACACAGATCCCTTACTAAAAAATGTCTAAACATTTTTGCCTTCTTTCACATTGGTACGTTCATGGGGAAAACACGCGCGCGCGCGCGCGCACACACACACACACACACACACACACACACACACACACACACACACCCTTAGATTAAAAAAGGTGGAGGGAAAAGAAAGGCACATTTTAAAAGGACATATATATTAGAGACATACAACTCACCCCTTATAAAGAAAAAAATTGAAATGTAAGGCTGTGTAAGATTTGTTTTTAAACTGTACAGTGTCTTATTTTGTATAGTTAACACACTACCGAATGTGTCTGTAGCTAGCCCTGTCCTGGTGGTATTTTAAATAGCCACTAACCTTGCCTGGTACAGTATGGGGGTTGTAAATTGGCATAGAAATTTAAAGCAGGCTCTTGGTGGACAGCACAAATTAGTTATCTATGGGGATGGCAGTTTTTCCATCTTCAGTTGTCTCTAATGCAGCTTATACGAAATCATTGTTGTTCTGTTAACGGAATACCACTCTGTAATTGAAAAAAAAAGTTGCAGCTATTTTGTTGACATTCCGAATGCTTCTAAGTAAATACAATATTTTTATTTAAAAAATAGCTTTAGACATACATGCTCTACAAATGTTTCAAACTTTCTTCAAAAGTAAAATTTATAGGTTAACAAATAGAGGCATTTAAACCCCCAAATTTCATATGGTTGGTACTTTATTGTACCAGATTTCTTCAAAACAAGTATAATCCAACATAAATTATTATATGTTATAATATTTCAAATATAAAACCATTATATAAATATAAAACTATGTAAGTGTAAACAGATATACTATAAATATAAAAATATTTTATAACAATTCAGTGCTGAAGAAAAAAATCTAGTCTGGTGGTTCTAGAATAAACTGAAAAAGGTCTCTGTACAAATAGTGCTTCCTCGCTCCGGTAAAATACACAAGAGGCCAATCCGTACTGCTCTGATTGCTTGGGCTCCCACAGTGAAGATCCTGTTTTTGACAAGAGTGACAGCTAATTCCCATTCCCTCACCGAGACAGGCATGAGGCAAAGTGCTCGCTACAAGTCTTGCCACTGGAAAGATTTTATTTGGGACCTGTATCTTAGCCTTACTACAACTGAGTTTCTTTACTTTCTGCCCTCTTTTATTCATTTATTGCAGATAAGTTCTGTTTTAGTGGTTAATAGAAAATACAATATCTCACTGATATTTCTTTTCCAACATTTTAAGTTTCCTTCTACTTAGGAAAATGTATTGACATTAGAGGCCCGGTGCATAAAATTTGTGCGGGGGGCAGGGGGAAGTGTATCTCAGCCCAACCTGCACCCTCTCTAATCGGGGAACCCTGGAGGAATGTCCAACTGCCCTCTCACAATCTAGGACTGCTGGCTCCCAACTGCTCAACTGCCTGCCTTCCTGATTGCCCCTAACTGCTTCTGCCTACCAGCATGATTATCCCCTAACCACTCCCCTACCAGCCTGATTAATGCCTAACTGCTCCTCTGCCAGCCCGATTACCCCTAACTGCCCTCCCTGCAGGCATAATCACCCCTAACTGCTCTCCCCTGCAGGTCTGGTCCCCCTCAAATGCTCTACCCCGCAGGACTGAGTCCCCCCCCCCCCAACTGCCCTTCTCTGCAGGCCCAGTCGCCCCCAACTTCCCTCCTCTGCCAGCCTGATCACCCCATAACTGCCCTCCCCTGCAGGCTTGATCACCCCCAGCTGCCCTCCCTTGCAGGCCTGGTCTCCTGCCCCCAGCTGCCCTCCCTTGCAGGCCTGGTCTCCTGCCCCCAACTGCCCTCCCTTGCAGGCCTGGTCCCTCCCAACTGCTCTCCCCTGCTGGCCTGATCACCCACAACTGCCCTCCCTTGCAGGCCTGGTTCATCCCAACTGCCCTCCCCTGCTGGCCGTCTTGTGTTCACATGGTGGCAGCCATCTTTGACCACACAGGGCAGCCATCTTGTGTTAGTGACTGTCTATTTGCATATTACTCTTTTATTAGATAGGATATCTTTTTTATACATGGACTTCATTTTTTATTTTACAAATTACATTAAGAACTCCTTTTAAAGGTACCTACTCTACTCTAAAGTTTTAACTTTACACTAAAAAATGCAATGGATATTAAACATGTATTTTCTCTACTATCCCTGAGTCACACAGCATATTTAGTAAAATTTCAGCTAACCAGCATCCAGGAAATTGAAAGTGCCAGGCAATCAGCCACCTTTAAAACATCAAAGGCAAAAGAGCAAGGGAGATTTGACACAACCAATAGAATAAAGTCCCAAAAAGATTTAGATTTATCTGAATGAGGAATGAAAAGAGTTGAAAATAAGGACATTCTCAGGCAAACAAAATAACCAAACTAACTGTAAGATTCTAGCAGCTATCTTGGAGAGCAAATAGGGGGGTGCTTCAGAAATAAACTCAATGTGGGGTGCCTTTCTCATCTCATTTCTTCAAAGTGCTTGAAAATAAAGATCAAATCTGAAAATAGAGAATTGATCCCATGATTAAATATGTAGGTGGTTTTTTTCTGTATCTTTCTTCCATTGTAAAGTTAGCAAGACACTATTTATTAATGTTAAGTAAAATGGCTCAGGTCTTTTTGGTTTCATAAGGTAACTAATCTTAAGAAGATAAAATATGTCTACTTCTAAAATGCCAGTCTGATATTCTGATAATTATATATGTACTAGTGGCCCATTATCCTCAGCCCAGCCTGCACCCTCTCTAATCGGGGACATCGCTCTCATAATATGGGACTGCTGGCTCCAAACTGCTCATCTGCCTGATCGCCCCTAACTACCTTCCCCTGCCAGCCTGATCTCACCCCTAACTGCTCTCCCCTGCAGGCCTGAATCACCCCTAACTGCCTCTGCCCTGCAGGCCTGATCTCGCCCTCAATGGCCCTCCTCTGCCTGCCTGATTTCGCCCCCAATAACCCTCCCTTGCCAACTTAATCTCACCCCCAATTGCCCTCCCCTGCTGGCCTGATTGCCCCTAACTGCCTCTGCCTCAACCCTCACCACCATGGCTTTGTCCGGAAGAAAGTCAGACATCTGGAAGATGGCGGGTCGAACCAGTCTAATTAGCATATTATCCTTATTAGTATAGATTCTGACATGTTAACTGCTACCCCAGCTGAGGAGTAGAAAGTGGAAACAAAGACAGAAAACTCTGAGGAGTGTGATGACAACATGGGCTTTGGTCTTTTTGCCCAAACCTCTTTTGTAACACATTCAATAAAAAGCTACTCTGTTAAAACAAACAAAATCAGCCCCTTGAGTTTTTACTAGAGTTCCTCTACTCACGGTTCCAGGTCACAGCCAAGTTAATTCTTTCAGTTCCACCGGTGCTAAGTAATTTAAGTAAAAGCAGAGATACTTAAACTGCTGGCTCTCACATCTTACCCAGTCTTCAGGCTTCAACAGTGCTTTGGGGCTTCAGGAATCCCAATGCCCCTTGGACTCTGCCCAAAAATAATTTCCCTTCCTGTTTTAGACATTTAATACATAGCTCAAATTCCCTCAACTGTTCTTGTCCTCAAAACATTCCTTCACTTTTATGTGAGAAGAAGAGGATGAGGAGGAGGAAGAAGAGAAGAAGTGAGAAGGGGAGTACTCCAATATAAAGAAGAGATTAATGTCCCACCCACATAGCTCAGTGGTTGATCATCAACCTATGAATCAGGA